AGTCAGTCAGAAAGCCCTGGGCTGCAAGTAACAGAAGGGCCTGTTCAAACTGCCTTAACCAAGAGAGGGTTGACCAGCCCATGGTTCTGGGAGCTCCTGAGGCAGGAAGGGTTTTGGGGTTGGTCTGACCCAGTGGCTCAACAATGCTGTCAAGGCCTCTGCTTCTTTCCATCTCTGCTTTCTACATAGTCCACCTCACTCCAAATTCACTTCTCTCTCATGGGCACAAAACAGCTGTCCAGCTTCAGACTTTGCACTCAAATGCCACCCTTCCCAGGAGAGAGAATATATCTGTGCCAGCAGGCCATGGGGGAATCACCCCAACTGGACCCCTCAGGCCATGTGCCCATCCTTCAACAGGTGCACAACACGGCCCTGGGAGAGGAACATGAGATGGAGACTGAATGCTGGCTCCACCGGGCTAGCAGTGTGGGCAGCTTGGCACCAGCACACGGGGATGGGGCTGGATAGTGGATGCAGGGACCAGTCTTGAATGCTCCAAGGCCGGATCCAGATCCAGGGAGTTTGCAAGTTGAAGCCAGGAATTTGGGTTTTATTTAGGAGAAAATAAAGAGCTAGAAATGCATTGGGGGGCAGGAGGGCAGAGCCCAAGTCGGCTGGCACCCCCAGCTTACCAGGGGAGGGGCTGCTGCCTGAGCCAAGCCCCAGAGGCCTGGTGTGTGGGGGTGGGGGAGTGGGGGCTCAGGAAGAGGGCAGGCTGGTTGGGAGAAACTGGCATGCTCACTCCTGACCAGGCCAGCTCCTCCCATGCTGCCCACTCAGCCTGACCTCAGCTCCCATCAGCAGGGGGCACCTTGGCCCTCCTTTTTCATGGAGACTGAGGCACAGGACCATGGCTTTCAAGACCACAAAGCTAGTAAATGACTGTTGGGATTTGAGACCAGGCCTGTCAGACTCCAACACGATGCAGTAAGGAGGGCGGGTCTTCCTAGAGATGGGTGCTGATGGCTTGGGGACAGAGGTGATGGTCTTGGAGACCACAGGACGATGGGGGTGGGGGCCTGGCTCCTGGTAGTGACCAGCCTGGCACGGTCCACGTGCCCCTGTCAGCAGTCCCTGCTTCCCTATGATGCAGTATGTTGATTCTCCTGCCAGCCAGTTATAACATGTGGCTTCCTCACAAATTAGTAAGTTCAATCAAATATTTGATACATTTTATGTACATATGATAGCCACAATTTTACCTTTTAAAAATGACCTTTGAACATCAGAGGCAGGGTCAGGGGCTCAGTAGTGGGCAGCACTGCGGGGGCCTGGGCAGCTCCAGGAAGATGAATGGAGGTTGGACGTGTGCTTGTGGCTGCCAGCCCTGCCCGCATGCCCTCCTGGTAGCTCATCCCCCAGTAGGTAAGGCTGCTGTGTCCCTGCTGGGACAGCCTTGCGCCCCACCCTGCAGGTACTGGTGTCCTGTCTTAGGGCACATGGCAAATTCACTCTTACTATGGTGTTAGTGGCTGATGGTGGCTTTCCATGGACTTTCTCAAGACATTTCTGCAGGCACACCTTTACAATCAGAGGACCCTAAAAGTGCCCCTGCCCAGATTCTGGGGTCACAACCCCAAATAGCCCTGCCCTATTCAAAATTTCTTCAACATTTCTGTTTTTTAAATGTGGTTTTGTGGGAATTCTGCATTCTGTGGTAGAGGACATCTGTGCTTGTTTTAGAACAGAACACTAGGGGGGCAGGTGAGAATAAGCCTGTAGATTTCCAAACTCCACAGCTCCCTCCAAGGGACACTGGGCGTCCCCTTTCCAGGCCCCCCTCAAGGGCAGCAGTTCAGGGGTCCTTCCGGCCACAGCTATGAACCCAGGCCTGTGGTCTGTGCAAGATCCCTCCTTAGCCAGGTTGGGAGTGAATGGGAGACTGGGCTTCTGGTTCATTCCGTGACCCTAAAAGAGTATTTGGGGATGGACAGGGGAGAGGGACATGTGGGCAAAGCCAAACAGGAGCTGAACACCTGGATCTGAATCCTGTGTCTGCACAGGGGGTCAGGGTCTTGTGAGTCCCACTGGAGAGCTGCCCTCCAGGCCCACCCACACCAGATCACAGTGAAACTGTCAGACCTGAAGACCCTGGACCCCAAACCTGGCGCCTTTCTGTCTGCGGGGGCAGGACCTGGACCACGGGGCGGGGCCTGGGTGAGGGCGGGGTCCGAGTTTCAACCCCTGCGCCTGCGCGAGCCCCTCTGGGCGCAGGCTCCATGCACCGACCTATCCCTGTCGCTCTGCTGCCACCTGGTGGCACGGCGCGGGCGGCAACTCTGGGTCTCACCTGAGGGAAGCGCAGGTGCACTGCGCTTACCCAGAGGGCAACTGAGCTGAGGAGCTTTAAGGTATCCTGAGCCCGCTACGCAGGTCAGTGGGAGATGGTGGGGAAACTATCCACATTGCGAAGTCCAGCCGGGCTCAGCTTCCGTGCCCAGAGGGGTCCCTGACAAGTACATCGCTACCTGCATTGCAGAACCACCTGCGCTAAACCTGGGAAGGGCTGTGCACCCTGAACTTCTCCCCTAGGTTCACAGCTGGGGAAACAGGCTCAGAGGCCGCGGGTGCGCTCTGGGAGGGCAGTCTCTCATTCAGTTCCTGCTACCGACCAGGCCCTGTCCTGCGCCCTGTGGACAGAGCCTGAATCCTGGGGGGAAAGCAGATAAACAAGGAAACAAACACTGAAAATTGTACTATAGTCAGTCAGAATCACATCATACAGCATAATGGAACACGACCTCCTACAGCGGGTAGTGCCGTTCAAAACAGAGAAGGGAGGTCAGCGGCCAGGTCGTTACTGTGGGGCACTGCAGGCAGGATGGGGTGTCTGAGTGCAGGCGTGACAAGGATAAGGAGTGGAGATCATGCCAGGCCTGCACAGTGGTCCAAAGGCCTTGGGGCAGGAGCAGCCAGAAGCCCAGCAAGGGAGCCAGAGGGAGAAAGTGGGGTGAGGAGGGGCAGATCCCAGGGCCTCTAGGGCTTCAGCCAGAGGGGAACTTCATTCTAGTGCCTGAGAAACCTGGTGGGGCCCTCGGCAGCAGCAGGGAAAGGGCAGGCCTGCTGTGATTCAGGAAGAGTCCCACCACTCTGGCTGCGGGTTGGAGAGCAGCTGGGGTGGGTGGGAAGCTCCTGGGGGCTGCCTGCCTTCAGGTGAGCAGGTGGAAGTGGTGAAGGGCTCAGAGGAGAAGCAGAGGGAAGGACTGTGTTCAGCATAGTGGCGGAGGGAGGCGGGTGGGTGAGGGTAGACTCCCACAGGTGTGATGGGGACAGGGCCAGGTGACGTTTTAAATGGTCCCAGTTTTTGAGCCTTGTGTTACATTGCATGCATTATCTTGTTTATTTAGCACCATAACCAGGGCACTCCCTGCCTTATCTCACTTGATTAGTGCAACAACCTTGTGAGTCAGGATTGTGGCCCCTATTTTAGGCACAAGGAAATTGGAACTCAAGTGGCACTCGTGGTTTCTGTGCAGTGAGGGGCTGAGCAGGGATTTTGTCCTGGGTCAAGTCATCTGTGCAATTTTAAAATTAAGACACAATCCACATAGAATAAAAATCACTATTTCAAAGTGTTCTGTTGTGGTTTTAGTATATCCACGGGTTAAGCAACCATCACACTAATTCCTGAACATTGTATCCCTTCAGAAAGAAGCCCCTTCCCACTAGCCGTCAGGCCCATGTCGCCCCTCCTCCGCCTCGGGTGACCTCCGATCTCCCTCCTGCCTCTGAGTTTGCCTGTTCCTGGTGTGTCGCACATGTGGCAGTGCGTGGGCTTTGTGACTGGCTTCTTTTACTTAGTGTCTTCCAGGTTCAGCCATGCTGTAGCATGTGTCAGCACTACATCCCTTTTATGGCTGAGTAATATTCCCTCATGTAGACACACCACATTTTGTTTCTCCAGCTCATCTGTTGGTGGGCACAGACCATTTCCACTTTTTGGCTATTGTGCCTAATGCCACCAAGAACATTTGTGCACAGGTATGTGTCTGAGTCCCTGTTTTTGATACTAGTAGTGGAATTGATGGGCCACATGCTTGACTTGTTGAGAAACTGCCTGTTTTCCAAGGTGTCTGACTGCATACTCCACCAGCAATATGTGGGGGCTCCAGTTTCTCCACACCCGCACTATCCCTGGATATTTTCCTTTTGCAAAAAGAAGTTACAGCCATCCTAGTGGACGTGAGGGGCATCTCACTGTGGCTCTGATTTGCGTTCCCTTAATAACTGGCAATGTCGAGCATCTTGCCACGGGCTTCTTGGCCGTTTGTGTATCTTCTTTAGAGAAATGTCTGCTCAGATCCTTCACCTGTTTTCAAATTGACTCCTTTATCTTTTTATTGTTGAGTCCTAGTTCCTATTTTAAATCACTCTGCTTCTGCCTCCTGGATGAAGTTGGCTGGGCTTGCATAAACTTATGGGGTACTTGGCACACAGTGCTCTCTACCAGAGCCTGGGTGAGTACTTTCTCTACCCTGGAGCCATAGTGTGATGGCGGGTGGTACCTACGGACAGAAAAATCCTGCCTCTCTCTGGTTGCTCTCTGCCCTCAGCAGGCGCAACCTCCCGACCCTGCCCCGCCCTCGCCCCTCCCACAGGATCTGTGATGTGAACTGTGCCAGGCTCCCGACCTTTGAAATCGGGCCAGGGCCTCAGCTTGCTCCCGGCTGAGCTCCCAGTGCTCATGGCAGTGCCTTTCTGTCCTTGAGCCTCCTGGGATCAAGAAGCCCAGCAGCTCCCAGTGTGGAACGCACAGTGTGGGAGAGGGTGGTGAATGCGGCCCTGCGACTGCTCGGTGGCCTTGGGTGAGCCTCCCAGCTTGCCCATGGCCTCACCTGAAGTAGAGACTGTAGGGCTGACTGGTCTGAACTCCTCTGAGATCAGGCAAGTAGAAGGCCCAGGGCACAGTATGATCTCAGTAAGTGGGAGGGCCCTTCTCCCACAGAGGTTTCTCAGGTTCTCTTTGGAGGACGCCAGGCCAAACAGACAAACCTGGGTACAGCTCTGAGAGGGGAGAGACTGTGTCTGACTTCCAGGATCTTCCACTGCACAAGCTCAAAGCTCAGAAAATATTGACGATGGGCTGCAGGGGAGAAGAGAGCAGAATGGGGTGGAGAGCGGGATCCAGTTTGTGCACAAACTGCAGGATAGGATTATAGGTCCATGTATGCAGGGAATGCAGGGCAGCATGGAGAACGGCTGCGGTGGCTGCCTGTGGAGGGGTGGATGAAGTAGGCCAGCCTGTCCAGAAATACCCACCCTCCTCTTCAACAGGAGGTGCCTTCGAGGCCCCTTGACTTGGGGCGTGGCCTTATAACTTGCTTTGGACCCAGGACAGACAAGGTGCCAGCCGAGGACTTGCAATGCACCCCTGTGCTAGTCTGCTCTCTGCTGCCTCGGGGAGGAAGCCCCAGAAACACGCGCACAGCAGCGTGAGTCCAACCCCCGGGCACAAGCGCTTCTCAGCGAGCTTGCCGCCGAGCCGCCCAGCCGTGCTCTGCCGTCGCGTGCAGCTGTTGTCTGAGCCACCGAGGGCTCGGGCCATCTATCTCTCGGCATTTTCATGGCAGGAGCTGACGGACACTCAGGGAGAGTAAGTAAGTGATTCTCACTTTTTACTCTGTATCTAAGCATTTTTAAACAAACGTTTGATAGTTCTAAGAATAAAAAGGCACATTACATACAGACCCACAGAGTGGCAGGGGAAGCTGGGTTTCCTCAAACACAACCAGCCGGCCCCCTGTGCCCTCATGGCCGCCGAGGCTTTCTCCACTGCCTGTGGTGTTCAGTGGCTCTGAAGAGTGGCACCCACTGCAGTTTAGAAGTGGTGGAGCCTGTACAGAGTGGAATTCAGGGCTTTCTCATTTGCACGGGTTGTTTGGCAAACAATCCCCAGCTTCTGATGAGCTGCATTTGGGAAGTTACTGAAGTCTTTGGATTTCACCTACGCTCGTAGTTGAGGGGTGTGCCTGGGGGATGTGCCACCTCCTGACCCTCTGTTGAGTGTGGCATCTCTGCTGCCTTCATGAGAGAGATCTCACCTGGAAACCAAGCCCAGGTCAAAGACGCTGCCACTTTCTAGTGTAACTCTAAGTAGACTGATCAGGAGAAAAAAGGGAAAAGATACAAATGAACAATATCAGGAGCAAGAGGTGACATCATTACAGACTATGATGATGAAGAGAATAGTAAGAGAACGTTAGGAGCAATTTTTATGCCGACATGTGTGAAATGGACAAATTCCTTAAAGATCACAAATCACCAGGACTTATTAAAGAATAGATGGATCTATTAAAGAAATCAGATTGGTAATAAAAACCTTTCACCTGGCTTCACTGGGGGAGGCACCAAGATTTAAATTGTACACCAGTTGTCCGTAAAATTGAAAATGTGGGAATATTTCCAAACTCATCCTCTGAGATCAGCATTCGCTTGAGGCCAAAGCCAGACAGAGTGTGGAAGGAGGGGAGGGAAAAGCAGAGGAGAGACGAAGGGAGACATCCTCCAGACTGAGAGGGTACCACTAACAGAAAGAGCTACTTAAGGAATAACTCAGGGAGAAGGAAACTGATCCCACAGGGAAGGACAAGATGCAAGAATGAAAGATGAGTGAACAAAACGGACAATGTCTGGTAAACTGTAAAACAGTGAGTACAGTGGGCAGTCAGGGCTGTAAGAACACGATACAACTTGACTTGGTCATGACACTTAATTGCCAACAACATATCTGCTCTGGCTACATTTAAACAGAAAACACATTTGTCAATGAATATTATCTTCATTCTGAAGACTCACAACAGAAGCAAAGCCCAGCCCTGCCTTGGGGGCTTCTTAGGTGAGGGCCCACCAATGTCTCCGCTTGGCACCAATGGCTTTAGGACAGGGTATCTCATTGGCATGCTGGCATTTTGAGAAGGACAGTTCATTGCTGTGTGGATAGTTTAGTCCATGTCCAACACCTGTCAGCACACTTCTGAGCCATTTTGACAGCAGAATTGAAGCTGAGGCATATTCCCAGGGTCTCCAGGGGAGAGGGTGGCACTGTCTCTGGTCGAAAACCACAGCATGGGACTACTTACTAGAGAGTATGCCAAACTTGCCCCTGAAGACCTGGATTCCTACCACCTGCTTGAAGGAGGGCAGAAGACAGACTCCACTGCCCAGTGTCACCTCACTCCCATCACTTACGAGTCCAACTGTGAGTGGGTGCACCTATGTAATAAAAAGCCCAGGCCACATGCCTGCACCTCACCACCAAGGGGATTTGAGATGCTGAATGTACTCTGTTATCTGACTGCTACGAAGGCAGATGCCATCGTGCAGGAGATAAGTCATTTTCTCAAAGATATGCTCTGTCTAGACATGACAAATGGTCACTGCAGCCATCTGTTAGCTTTCCAACACCAGTAAAGGAGCTCAGACTTCTGGCAACAATATCATGCTCCCAGCTCACATAGTCCAATTATTACTAGTGCAGAGCAAAATATGCTCACTTTCTCCCTAAGTGGGCCCCCAGGGTCTCTGGGTCACAGAGCCTGCGTCTGTACCTGATCAGAAGGTACCTCTCCCTTGAGAGGCTTTACTTACGTCTGCCAGGAAATTGTAGTACATGCAGATGCTGTTAGACATCTAACTGCCATCTCCAGAAAGCTGGCCTAACAAATACACAAGTCCATGATGTCCACAATGTGAGGGAGGCTTTCTGGTTGTGCAGTGCACAGCCTGCATAACTGAACTTGGCAGCCTTGCGAAGTCTCATCTGTTACCACATCCACCTCCAGGTGCAGCCCCACTGCTTTCCTACCAGGTCAGTCCAAACCCAGGCTGGTAACCAGTGGCCTGAAATGTGCAGGTTAGACCCAGCACACCACCTACCTCAGGCTCTCTGAGCCTCAGCATGATCAACATTTGGGGCTGGATAATTCCTTGTGCTGGGAGCTGTCCTGTGCCCTGCAGCATGGCTACCAGCCCCCTGCCTTCTACGCATGACACCACTAGCATGCACCTGCCACCCCACCATTGTGATCATTAAAATTGTATCCAAAAAAAAAAATTGTATCCAGACTTTGCCAAATAGCCACCGGGGGGGAACCCACTTCTGTGGAGAGCCACTGTCCTGCCCGGAACAGCAGGGCTGGGAGAGGAAAAGGAAGAAAGGAAAGCAAGTCCACAGCAGCCATCCATGGGGCACACAGAGGAAGGGACTGGGGGTGGACCACAGTCCCTCTCTCTGGCCCCATCCTCAGCTTCTATCTGCTGCACATTCCCTTTGTCCTCGTGGGGGCTGGGGTTCTTTCCTTGGGAGCATGAGCCGAATCCAGGCTCCTGATGAGTCTGAGTCCTTAGTGACCCCCTATTTTGTGGGGCTGCACTGACCTGATCAGAAGGTACCTCTCCCTTGAGAGGCTTTACTTACGTCTGCCAGGAAATTGTAGTACATGCAGATGCTGTTAGACATCTAACTGCCATCTCCAGAAAGCTGGCCTAACAAATACACAAGTCCATGATGTCCACAATGTGAGGGAGGCTTTCTGGTTGTGCAGTGCACAGCCTGCATAACTGAACTTGGCAGCCTTGCGAAGTCTCATCTGTTACCACATCCACCTCCAGGTGCAGCCCCACTGCTTTCCTACCAGGTCAGTCCAAACCCAGGCTGGTAACCAGTGGCCTGAAATGTGCAGGTTAGACCCAGCACACCACCTACCTCAGGCTCTCTGAGCCTCAGCATGATCAACATTTGGGGCTGGATAATTCCTTGTGCTGGGAGCTGTCCTGTGCCCTGCAGCATGGCTACCAGCCCCCTGCCTTCTACGCATGACACCACTAGCATGCACCTGCCACCCCACCATTGTGATCATTAAAATTGTATCCAAAAAAAAAAATTGTATCCAGACTTTGCCAAATAGCCACCGGGGGGGAACCCACTTCTGTGGAGAGCCACTGTCCTGCCCGGAACAGCAGGGCTGGGAGAGGAAAAGGAAGAAAGGAAAGCAAGTCCACAGCAGCCATCCATGGGGCACACAGAGGAAGGGACTGGGGGTGGACCACAGTCCCTCTCTCTGGCCCCATCCTCAGCTTCTATCTGCTGCACATTCCCTTTGTCCTCGTGGGGGCTGGGGTTCTTTCCTTGGGAGCATGAGCCGAATCCAGGCTCCTGATGAGTCTGAGTCCTTAGTGACCCCCTATTTTGTGGGGCTGCACTGTTAGCCCTGATGATGCCGTATTGAGAAGGGCCTGGGAGGCTTGGGCACCCCCACTCCCGTGTGCTCGCCTGGCTGGCTGCATCTCCCATCCCCAAAGGGTAGCAATTCAGCCTTCTCTCCGGGCATCTGCGTTTCACTCACTGGCATGAGAAACCTTAGATGGCCCCTTGGAAGCCTGAGTCCAAGTCCCATGAGCAGCTGTCCTCCCTTCTTTTAATTTGTATGAATTCTTTGTATCTTTTGCTGTATGTGTATTTTTGCTGTATTGTGAGTATCTCCTCCTACTCTGCAAGATACCTATTCATTCTCTTAAGGCGTCTTTTGATGAACAGTTTGAAATATTAATATAGTCCAATATCACTATTTTTCTTCTCCAGGTTAGTGACTTTTGAGTCCCATTTGCCTATTCCAATATCGCAAAGACTTAAAAAAAAATATTTCTCCAGAAGTCTTCTTGTTTTACCTCTTATGTTTGGATTATAGTCCATCAAGAACTGGATTTTATCTGTGGTCTGAAGTGGCAATCTAGGCAATTTTTTCCAGAAAGCGTCTAGTTGACCCAGCACCAAATCTTGAACGATGCTGCCTTGCCCAGAGCTCTGAGGGCTGCCTGTGTGTCTGGCTGGGGGACCCCGGGTGTGGTTCTCAGTCTGAGCTCCTGGTCACGCTCTGAGCAGTCAGTTGGTCTGCATCAGGGCCACACCATCATACGAATTTCAGAGTGAGCCCACGAACCTCGTGGTGAAGTCCTCTGGCTTTGTTCTTGAAGACTGCTTGGATCTTCTCCACACTTGGCATTTCCGTATTAATTTTAGGATCAGGTTGTCAATTTACCAAAAAAAAAAAAAAGCTGCTGAGGTTTTTATTGGGATTGCACTGAATTACAGATGCATTTTCAAATAATTGACATCTTGTCAATACTGGTTCTCACAGTCCTGTGCATGGGATATCTCATTCTTTATCGCAGGTCCTCTTTAACATCTTTCAGGAATGTTTCTGGTGTTCAGTGCAGTGTTGTTTACACTTTCCATTAGATTACACCTAAATATTTAATGCTGTTGTAAATCATACTGAATTTCAAGAATGCATTTTCTATTTGTTGCTGGTTTGTAGAAATACAACTGATTTTTGTATATTAACCTTATATCCAATGATCTTGCTAAAGTAATTTATTAAATATAATAGTTTGTAGATTCCTTTTGATTTTCTACATAAAGGTCCTATTTGAATTATTACTGTTTCTATTTCTTTCTTTCCTATTTTTATGTTTTTATTTCATTTATTTTTCTTGCCTTATAATGTTGTGATAAATATAGGTGGTGATATCTGTTCTTTTCCTTATTCATAGTCTGGGTAGGGAAATTCTTATCATATGACAAGTTATCAAATTTATTGGCATAGTATATTGCTAATATCCTCTAATTTTTTGATGCCTGTAGAGTCCATAGGGATGTCTTCCTTTCCACTTCTAATATAGGTAATTTGTATTTTCTTTCTTTTTTCTTATCAGTCTTACTAGACTTATTAATTTTATTAATCTTTTAAAATTTGTTGAGTTCCCTGTTGTTCTTTTGTTTTATATTTTGTTGTATCCTTGTTATGTTTAATATTTTTATTTATGGAGGGACACCTAAATTGCTGATTTTTTAGCATTCCTTCTCATCTATTTATTCAGCGAAGATTACACATTTCTTTCTAAGTCCTGCTTTAGCTGCACCCACAAATTCTTATACGCTGTGTCTTCATTATCTTTTAGAGCAAAAGATTTATAATTTTCCATTTTTATATCCTCCTTGATTCGTGGGCTATTTATTTTCAGGCAGTAGGGTTTTTTCTAGTTATATTTTTGTTATTAATCATTAGATTAATTCTATTGTGTTCAGACAACATACTTTAGTTGTAATATTTTGATGTTTGTCTAAGCTTTTTAATGGCCCAGCAGATGCTCAATGTAGTAAAATTTCCATGTGAGCTTGAGAAGAACACGACTCCGTGTTTGGGTTATTGGGTCCTGCTACACATATATGTCAGTTAGGTCAGTTGTTTCATTGTGTTGTTCAGACCCTGTAGATCCTTGTGGATTTCTGTCTGCTTGGCTCATCAGCTATTGGGAGTGGCAAGTTAACGTCTCAACCCAATTATTGTGGGTTTGTCTGCCTTTTAGTTCTGACAAATTGGCTGTATTTTTGACCTACAAACAGATTTAGGATTTACCATTATGAAATGTCTCTCTTCATCTCTAGGAAATTTTTGCTCTAATATCTACTGTTTATGCTAGTAACATAGCTACACCAACTTCCTGTGGGTTAGTATTGTCATGGCATATTTTCCCATCTTTTTGTTTTTTGTGCCCTAGCTAAAATGAGCTTCTTTAGTACTTTTTTTTTTAATGCAGTCTGACGATCAGTCCTTTTCTGGAGTCCACTGATATCTACTATGATTTATATCTATCATCTTACTCTCTGTTTTCTCTTCTGCCCATCGGTTTTTGTTCCTTTTTGCTTCCTTTCTTGATTTCTTTTGAATGAATAAAGTGTTTTACTAGCTTTTTCCTTTTATTAACTTGTTAGTTATATGTTTTTTCACTTTTTCTTGTCTTGGTTACTCTAGCAATTACAAATGCATTCCTGGCTTATATATTGCATATTACGCCCTTTGCTACCATGTGCTACCACCCAGATAGGGTTGTTGTGACAGTTCAATGAGTAGATGTAGGCAAAGTGCCTGTGCAGGCCCACGGTAAACCCTATGTGGGGTAAGCCACTGATGTCACTACTGCTGATAGCATTATTGGGCAAAGCCACATGTAAGTCTGAAATCTAAAGCTATGGCTAGAGGTTGTATATAATTAACACATTCAGGGCCTACTGGTGAGCAAGGTAGAATTTGGGATTGGGCCCTGCATTCCTGGGCCCTGGAGGCGGAGCTGCAGAAGCCTGGTGCCTACCCCATGCTTCTCACAGAGCCTGCTTGAGGGTGAGAATGCTCTCAGAGTGGGCAGCCCCTGGAGCCTCTTAGCATTTGGACTGGACAGAGGGTCCCCAGGATGCTGGCCCTGATGGGTCACTAGAGGCAGAGGGCAGGGCTCCCCCAGGCAGCCCAGCCAGGCAGGCTCACAGGCAGGGGGAATGTGGCTTCCACGCCCATGAGGGGGACTCTCTCGGGCACTGGGCTTTCGGGCCTGGGCCGGCCCAGCCACCTCACCCAGGAGGTGATGTGGGCCCTGTGCAAATGGAAAGTTGGCAGTGCTTATGTTTGCCCTGCCTGCTTCCTCAGCCAGTTTCCCAGCCAACATTAATTTAAACAGATTACAGTGGGAAAACTGCTCCCAGCTTTCCAGCAGCTGCAGACATGCTTGGTCGTTGCATCTGGAACACCCTGCTCCATGGGCCCAGGTTCCTATGAGACGGGACGCATCCAAGAGACACTCGCTGTGTACCTACTGTGTGTAGGGTCAGCTGCGGGCCTGGGAAGCCTGGCACCTCCTGGAGGTAGAGCTGGGGGAAGCCATGCAGGAGAGCCAGTAGCGTCCTTGCCTCCCTGGGGTGGGCAAAGCCAGGGGCCCCACAGCCGGCATGCTTGAGCAGATCCTCCCTAACCTAGGCTGCGTGGCCCTGGCCTATCTCAGGCCCATGTCCTCCTCTGTGTCACGGGAGAGGTGAGGGGCTGTGAAATGCTGGCTGCTGTCCCCACCCTGTCTGAGAGTGCATGCCCACATAGCTCTGCTCTGCCCTTGGGCACTGGCCTGGATGGAGCGGGTATTTTGCACCACTTGAAAGCCCAATAGATACTGACACAGCCAAGAAGAAGGGAGACTTTTCAGAGAGTGGGAGGTCAAGCGCAGGGCGTGCACGTGTGACGGTGGCTGGTCCAGCCGGTAGGATGCCTACTTCCTCTGAGCCTGTAGGTGGTGAGAAGCAGGTTCTCATACAGACATGCATTTCACATGCTGCATGTGCAAGGGTGTGAGTGTCTGTGTATGACAGCCCTTTCTGCCTCCATCTGAAATGGCTGGGCTGGGAACCTGAGGCCCAGATTTGTACCTGGCTTTGGCCCCCTTGAAGCTAGGGCCTCTCCCCATGCCACAGTCTCCCCCTGTATCAGCTGAGGGTGTGCTCTGCCCCATACCTCCCAGGGGCATAAGAGGGTGGCTGTCATAGGTCACCAAAGAAAGACCCTCCCGCAGAGTCTGATGTGGGGAACACTCCTGGGCTTGGTCAGTGGGCGCACCTGGCCAACAGTGCCTTGCCAGCACCAGAAATTCCCTGAGCTCTCCAGGCCCAGTGGTTCTGGCTTCATCACTTGAGGCACCTGCTCTGGCCCACAATGGGCTTCTCACGGGCTTTCCCAGCATTTCCCAGGTGCCTGCAGCCAGGTACTATGTCCCTGAGGGGGCAACATGTAGTGCCCCCCAAAAGTCCCAGGCCTTTCTGCTGTGCTAAAACAGCAGCTCCCTGTGTGTGGAGAGACCCTGGCTCCTGCCCCCCTGCAGCTGCTGGCCCTCTCCTTTATTGTTCAAGCCCCAGCCCCTGCCTCCCAGGACCCCTGCTGCGGGTGGCCTGTGGGAGGGGGTGGGGGTGACAGGTGAGTTGCCAGCAGGGGCTGGGCCTTGGGCCGAGTCTGCTTTCTCATGCAGGTCATCAGCGCTCAGAAGCGCATGCCAGGCCCATGTCTCCATTTCACCTCATTCACATTTTACAGATGGAGACAGATATCCCACAGCTGATCATGGGGATGGTGCCGGCACCTGCCACCTGGAGACCGTCTGTTTTCTTCCCCCAGTAAGGACTTGTGGGCGAGGCACCCCTGGTGAGCAGGATGGGTGCCACCACGGCTGCTCAGATACCTGACAGGTGAGGTGGTGATGGACCAAGCGCCCAGGGATGGCTAGCTGGCTCCCCTTGGTGCAGAGAGCAGGAGAAGCCGAGCCAAGTTCAAATGTTCCCACTCAATTTCCTTTTCTTTTTGAGAATGGCACTGCCATGTGACCTCTCTTTATTATGGATCTAATACCATAAGTTTCAGATGAGTGAACTCACATCTTATTTGGACTCTGGGTCTGAAGTCGCCTAAAGCTGGTAGAAAAATAATTGCACAAAAGCATACAAGGATGGTTAATTTGCAGTCTGCCATGGTGTGGCTTGACAGGCTGTGCCTTTGGTTCCCAGGAACTGATTCTCTAAACAGCACAGCCCACAGAGAAGACTCATTTACATAAGATGCACTTGGTATTTTTAATAGGATGAAAACACATAATTTTGCAAATGTTTATGGATTGTTAATTTGGCTGGATACAAAATCAAATTACAGGTAATAGACCACCTCCTCTTCCTGGGCTCCTCTTGAAGTAATTGCTGTAAGGGTACCTCCCCCGGGGGAAGGAGGTGGCAGTGTTGAGTCCCCTGCCCTACCAAACGGCAGGGAGCCAGGAAGGTTGGGCAGCCCATGGGCCCAAGCAGTGTCATACTCCTGGATTTGAAGTTGCAGACCCTTGCTCAGGGGTCCAGTGGTGGCTGCAGCTGGTGAAGGGAGCTGCGTGGGGTCTGATCAGTCCAGGCCAGAGGGTGCAGTTCAACCCTCAGCTGCGCATCCAGGCATCTGGAGTGGAGAAGACAACTCCCTGCCCTCTTCGTGGATGTGGTCACATTATCCCTGCGTCTGCAGGGAGGGGATTCCAATAGAGCTGGAGGCCGCCTGTGGGGTGGAGGCGTGGCCAGGGACATCTTGGGGGGTGTGGAGACCCTGGGCCCTGTGATAAGTTGCTGACAGGTGTGCTTGGACGCCCAAGTTCCCATGCCACAGCACACCTCTCTGGGCCTCCCCAGAAACAGAGGGCATCAAATTACTCACTAATAAGGCCTCGAGGGCTGAGAATCCCCAGAACAGCGCCAGGCATGTAAAGACCAGTGCTCGCTCTGTTATCAGGAGGATGACACCTGGGCTGGATCTCCTCCGGGGAGGGGTGGATGGGCAGCACAGCTGTACAGCCCCTGTCTGCTCCCCAGAAGAACCTGCGGAGGCACACACTCAGCTCTCCCTTTGCGTGCAGGGTGCTGGCCACATGGAGGAGGGAGCCAGCCATGCCTGGGGGGCCGGCCCACAGAGAACAACCACTGCGCCCGTGCGGCTCCCACCCTCCCGTCGGGGGGGCTCGTGCCCTGGAGGCCCTGAACCCATCGTCACACACATCCTAGGCTACGTCCTCTGTGGTCATTGGCTGTGGCCTCAGTCTGGTCAGTGGGTCCTGAAACCCTCTCCGTGCAGCTTTTGTCTTCACATGCTTTTGTCAAATGGCGACTCTTCCCTGGCTTTCACACGGTCAGGGACAAGGGCAGCCGGCCCACCACACCTGCCATTGTGCGAAGTCCAGTGGCCTTGATGTAAAGAGCTCCTCTCTCTTCTGATGGGACAGCCCCTCCCTACCCCAGCGGCCCCCAGACCCTGGTGGGGTGGAGGGCTTACTTTGCTCCTTGATCTTTCTTCATTAACTCAGGAGTTGAAGGTGCCACCCCTCGAGGTCCCCCCTCTCTGTGGGTGGGCTTCTTCACTATGGGGGTCACACCCAGGCCATTCTTGGGGAAGCCCCTGTTGGGGGGCACCATGTGGTGACAGCAGACGGCCTCCCTTCCACCCCAAAGGGGCCAGGCCCTCAGCCCCCCAGCCTCTGCGTCCCTGCCCTCCCCCCCATCTCCAGGTGAGCACTTACCATCTTCTCCACCCTTTGGGGACCCCTGTGGGCCCTTCCCTGCTTGATGTGGCAGGCGGCCTCCTCTCCCACCGTCAGCATGCCGAGGGGATGCTGGGCTCCCCCTCTGCAAACCAGGCTAGATGTGTGGGTGGGCTTCCCTAAGAACACCTCAAAGTCTGCAGGCCAGTGTTGGAATTCTGCCTGGATGAGACCTCTTAGATCTAAGGGTGACCACAAACTCCGAAATCTGTCTTTGGGGTGCAGGAGGGGATTCCAATAGGGCAGGCTGAAGGCTAGAACGGGAAGTATTAAACACCCACCAAGTCAGAAAGCCGCCATGGAGATGCCGTGAGCCAGAGGACAGAAGGTGCAGACAGAGGAGCCAGGTGGGGCCAGTGGGGTCAGGAGGGCCCAGGAGGGGCCAGGAGGGGCTAGGTGGGGGCAGGAGGGGCCAGGAGGGGTCAGGTAGGGTCAGGAGGGGCCTAGAGTGGCCAGGTAGATGCATGAAGGTCTGGGTGCATCGGGTGGGAGGAGAGAGAGTTCCTGCTTCCTGAAGTACCAGGCAAACTCTAGCCTGGGATCCTGTGATGGTTATTTTCAACTTCATGCTTTTGGTGAGAAACGGGCCTGTTTTGGTTCCTAATTTGGAGCATTTATGCAGAGGGTTCCAGGGTCCTGGGCATCAAGGTAAACTCACTCTTGTTGGGTCTCTGCCCACACATCCTGGGGTCTGGTCCTGGGGAAGGCTGGAACCAGAGGAATTCCTGCCCAAGGTGGGGGACCAGGGCCTCTGGGCTCCCACGCCCAGCCTAACACCAAGCGCCTCTGTTCCCAAGTGAGGAGCTGAGGCACAGAGGGAGTGGCTGCTGACCCCCAGGACTCCCAGGGCAGGAGGGCCACTCCCAGTAGATTCCCTGAAGAAGCAGGGCAAGCTGGCAAGTTGAAGGCCCCTAGGCAGCCCTGCTGTGCCTCTAGCTCTGGCACTTCTGGGTGGCCCCATCCCCTGGACTGCCTTTTGGGAGGGAAGGAAGCTGGTGCCCAAGGTGACAGGGTCCCAGGGGAGGAGCAGGGACCTGGGGGACAGGGAGGCACCTGAAGGCTGGAGAGCTGTGGTCCATGGGCCTCCCTGTAGCCCAGGAGCCAGGCCCTTCCTTGCCTCCCATGCTGGATCAGGGGCTGGGGCTAAGCAGGGGACCAGGGTACATGGGGACACGAGACAGGAGACTACTGGCACCTGGCCCACTGGTCCAGTCTGTGGTGTCTCAGCTATGCCCCAGGGAGGAGCCATGCAGATGAGGATCCCAGGCTCCAGTGGCTGAGAACCTCTCTGAAGATACACAGTGGCAAGACTCCCACTCAGCCTGGAGCTCCTCCCCGCCCTGCACCCTGGGAGACCAGGAATGTGACCCGTGTGGAGGGCCACCATGGACCCGTGAGGTTGCTCTCAGGAAGCTGGCTGTGGTCTGGATGATGCCAAGGAAGGCAAGTGCTGAGGGGGGACTCCAGAAGACCCCTCCTACTATTTGTGCACTATTTGTGCCCTTACCAGCATCACCCACCTACATCTGGGTCTTGAGATCCTGAAATTTCATGAACACAGGATGGACAGCTTAGGGAAAAGGAGCAGGATCAGGTGGTGTGTGTGCTCACCCATACAGTATGCAAGTCAGCCAGTATCAAGGCCGCATTAATCAGGGCGCAGAACCTGGGAGGTGACTGTCCTGTAGGATTTTCCACGTACCAAAAAGAACAGTGACAAGTGGTCGCAAATGCAGGAGATGCATCTCAAAGGCTAAAGAAATGGGCGTTTGGCCTGGATTTGGGCCTGGGAGCACAGACTTCTGCATTTTCTCCTGTCCCGCTCATCCCTTCAGCCACCCTGCCAGTCTGTTCTACAAGCCCCAGCCCTGCCTCCTTACCCAGGCAGAGCTTCAGCTCCTGCCCACCCACCCAGAACGTTTTCGTTTCTGCGCATCCTCCAGGCCTCAGCTGGAAGGTGGCCTCCTGGGAGGGCCTGGATGACCACACTCTGAGTAGCTGCGCATTCCCGCTGCTGAGTTATCTGCTGTCTCAGCACCCCAGATGCAGGGCTGCCTCCTCAACCACATGGAGGTGAGGAACTCAGGGCTATTTTCCATGCATGCTGCTGGAACATAGCCTGCTCCTCTGGTTCATAGCTGCAGCCCAGCACCTAGTATTGGGCTCATGCATGTTTGTTGAGTGAATGAACAAACACCCCCAGAGTTGCCCAATAAAGGAAGGAAGGAAGGTGAAGAGAAATGAAGCCTTTTCTCTGATGCCCCAAGGCAGACCAGGGCAATGGACTGTCATGTCCAGGAGTCCTGCTTCTGCTTAGCATGGAGGGAAGTGTCTGAAGCCTTTTCTCTGATGCCCCAAGGCAGACCAGGGCAATGGACTGTCATGTCCAGGAGTCCTGCTTCTGCTTAGCATGGAGGGAAGTGTCTGACTGTGGGCACTGTCAGCTAAGGGAGGCCTCTGTGGGGGTCACACGATGCTAGACCCCAGCAGTGGGGAAGGTGGCATCATGTGAGGCCAGCTCACTCCAGACCTGCTCCTGCTGCAGGCCTGTGGCCCCCTCCTCCCCACTGTGGGGAGGCTGTTCTCCATCCTTCCTCCAGCCACTCCCTCACTCCTGTGGCTCCTGGCTCTAGTGGAGGCACATCTCTTGGGGCAGCTTCTCTAGAGGGGACACCTCAGAGTCTTTGGGTGGCTGGGGAGAAAGCACTCAGGCCGGATGCTGCCCAGCCTGGAAACTTTGCTCTGCACTGAGGCAATTTGCACATACCTCTCATGAACTCCCACACAGCAGCGCCTCCCAACTTTCTTAATGGAAACCTGGTGATCCATGACATGAGAGGCAGACATCTGCTCCGGGGTAATGTACATATCGGTGATCAATCAACGATTTGCAAGAGAGGCATAAAGTATTTAATTATAATTGCGTTGGGCAAGTCTGCGTGGTGGGCGACATTTGAATAGGTCAGAGCCAGCCCTCACCCCTGCTGTGCTGTTTGGTATTAAATGCCATTCACTCTAAGGGCTGGGGGTCTTTCCCAAGTCGCAGGATATCACTTGCTGGCAAATTGAAAATGTCCCTTCGCTTTTAAAAACATGATTGATATCCTTTGCAAAACAAACGTTACACCTCATAGTACACTGATCCTGCCGGCCTGGTGCCAGCCCTTTGCTTGCCAGCAGCCCAGTGGGCGTGACTGGGAACAAGTGTACAGAGAGGCCCTGCCTCCTAAAAACTCATTTGTTCCAAGGCCTCCTCTCCCTCTCTGCAACTGGGGCCTCCAGAGATTGTTCTATTTTAAAGCAAAGGATTTTTCTGTTCTCAATCGGGCTTTGCTTACCAGAACCAAATGCAGGAATAGAGCAAGAACCCGAAAGATAAAATGCAAATTTTATTTGCTCAGTGGGTAGCAAAAAAAATGTATCTTCAGATGCTCTGTATGCCATAAGCTTATGTATAAGTACCACCTGCATTGTGTTACATCTAAATTATATCTAGGATAATTTAAAACGATGCTTTTGGCACAGAGGGACACACAACACACACACACACACACACACACACATGTGCTCACAAAGACACAACCATGCTGAGCCTGGACAAGCCACTGCAAGGAGGAAGCATTAACCATCCAACCCTGAAGTCACACACCTACACCTGGGCCCTGAGCCTGTCTGCATGCAGGTGCCTATCTGTAAAATGGGGATGAAAAGTGACAGCACCCATTTCCCAGGGCTGGAAGCTAGCGAAGGAGACAGGCTGCTGGGGCTCGGCACCATGCCTGGTGGAAGCTGCCACATGCTGGAAGCCGTCCCAGCAGAGTTCTGCACAGCTGCCTTTGTGGGGGAGAGAGAGGTGTCCTCCATGCTATAGGCCTTAGTACTGCTTTCAGTGGTGGCTGTTGGAGGCAAGGCTCCGCTCCTCCAGCAATTCTGACACATGGTCCCATTGGCGGGGTCTGGCAGAGCCGAGAGGGCATACCACCACCCATGTTCGTCTCTCGAGTTGGGGCCAGGATCTCATGACACTTGTGAAATGGCTTTCCTCTTCCCAAAACAATTAATGGAACACATGGAGCTTCTCTTTACAGGGTAGGTAAAGGAAGGCATATTGGGGTTTAATGACATATCAAGCTTCTGAATCACAATGAAGCCAAGTCTGAGCCAGTTTTGCATGATACTGTCTCAGCTGCCTGCCTGCCTTTACTTAAGTCCCAGCCCAGCCTCTCAGAGTCCAATGAAGCACGGCTCTTTAGTCCCTGTCGAGACGGCCAGCCGGCTTGGGCGTGCTTTTGTTATTTACAAAATTAGCCAACCATTGTCACCTAGTGAATCAGATTAGGTGTAATCCATACTAATGTTCAAATTAAGTCATGGAAAGCAATTAACTCTGCAAAAATGGGCTGGTGAAAAATGATAAGGTTGGTCAAATAGTTTCACTGTGCATAATTGTGTTTTTTTAAATGCCCGTCTCTACACAGTAATTAAATCATTTACATTTCAAATAGAGTATGCCCACCTCCCATGCCTGTAGTGTGCACTTCCTAATCGTACGCCGCACAGTGCGGCAGGGATTTACCAGCCGTCTGCTGTGGAATGTCTGCTTTCCCAGGAAACCAGCTGATGGAATAGGGCTTATTCCCTCCTTGGAATTCAGGAAGAGTGTGCTTTGCCCCCGTGTTTTCCCAAATTTGGATGCTCTCCTCCCTCCCTTTCTTCTTTCCTGTATAAAATACTGCATGGAATTTCTTAAACAATCATCAGATATTCTGCCCACAACACACGTGTCACTTCCAAGCACATCATCCACAGCAGGACACAGACAAAGGCCTTGGGGCAAAATTCATGGGATCATGGCTATCTGACTTCACCATTTGCACTTTATTGTTATTATTACTTTTAGCTCTAGGGAAGCATGGGGCAGATCTCAGTAAAACACTGAGCAGCTTCCGGGGCGTGGTCATCTGTGAAGCAAACTCTCAAATGACCAAGGAATGAAATGCAACCTTGACTCTGAGTGAGTGTGACCCTGAGCCTATGTTTTTATCCCTCTGGCAGGATGACTTGGGAATCTAAAGCAGACCCTAAGTCAACAGGAACCCAGCCGGGAGGCCAGGGAGCTTTTCTGGGGGGATAAAGCCGAAAGGTACCTTTCAGGTCGACTTCTTGGCTCCCTGCACCCTGGCTGTTTCCTCACCCAGTTTGTCTGCTGGTGTGTAGGATGCAGGAAAACCTAATTTCTTGGCTCCAGCTGGGGCTGAAATCACCCAGGAGACCCTAGAGCGGCCGGCTGCCAGCCTGCGGGACAGGGACACACAGCCTCCATTCCCCTCACATGGTCCACAAGTGGAGGCTCATTTGCTGGGCTTCCAGCCGGGGGTATCTGCCCTCCTGCGCGCGCTGGGGCGACTTGAGCCCCGGCAAGGGGTCGGGGGCGGAGAGGATATAGTCGATGCTGAACTTGATGTCCTTGTGCTCCTCCTTCCCCGGGGCGGCGGAGCTGGCGGGCGGCGCCGGCGCGCGGCGCGGAGTCGGGGACCCCTGCGCGTCGGCCGGCTCGGGAGGGGCTGGGGGCCCCGGGCGCGGGGAGCCGCGCCGGCGCCGGCGCCGGAAGTTGCCGTTCTCGAAGAGGTCCCTCAGCGACTCGCAGCCGCCGGCGAACGTCCAGTAGCTACCCTTGCCCTTCCCGTGGCCCTCGGGCCGCGGCACCTGCGCGGAGAGACAGGGGCCCGGGGCCCGGCTGGCTCCCGAGCGCGCCGCGTCCGCCGTGGGTCTCCCTTTGGGCGGGGTGAGCGCCCGCAGGCCCGGGAGGCACACGCGCGGTCCCCGGGTGGCGGCGCCGCTCCCGGCGCAGGTGGAGGCCGCCCCACTGACTGGGAACGAACTTAGCGGCGGCTGCTGCCTCACCCCCCTCCCAGGGTCAGGGCCGAGAAGTCTCCCGCGTGGGGCGCGCGGCGCAGCGGGGCTCACCCTGACGAAGCAGCTGTTGAGGGACAGGTTGTGGCGGATGGAGTTCTGCCAGGCGCGCTGGTTGGCGCGGTAATAGGGGAACTTGCGCATGATAAAGTCGTAGATGCCGGACAGGGTCACCCTGCCCGCGGGGCTCTGCTGAATGGCCATGGCGATCAGCGCGATGTAGCTGCAGACGGGGCGCGTCAGGCCGGGGACGCTGGATGCGCCGCGCGCTTCTGGAGCCCCCCGCCCGCCAGCCCTGCGTGGGCACCCCGGGCTCTCCAGAGGCGCCCTGGGCTTGGGAGGTGGAGGGCAGGAAGGGTTGCTTGGTTAAGGGACCCTTGGAGCCCCCTGCTTCTGCCCGGACCCCAGAAACTTTGCGTCGCACTTGGTTTCCTCAGGGGGGTGGAGAAACCTCTGGCTACCTCTGACCGTGTGCACAAATGTGCCCCTTCTCTGAGCCCCACCCGAGAGAAGAGAGCCCCCACTCCGTCATGGGCAGGTCCTGGCTACCCTTGCGGAGGGAGGTCCCCACCACCGACCCCGCGGTCACCTGTATGCGGGCCGCGTGAGCCGCTTCTCCCCGTCGGCGCTGCCGCTCGGGTAGTCGTCGGCGTCGTAATTGAAGCAGTTGTAGGGATACTGCGAGCTGTCAAACATCGCGGCGCGCCTCCCCCGCGCTGCCCGCCTGCCCGCCAGGTCCTGCCGAGCTCCTTCGGGCGCGGGCCAGCAGGGTCTGCACTGCAGGCTAGCCCCCTCCTGAGCTGGCGACCTGGGCTTCTGGAGACCCCCGCCCCAGCCCCCACCCCGCTCGCTTGCATCCAATCCCGGCGCGGGGGAGGCCCCAGCCAAGGCGCAGCGGCCGAGGGGAGCCACGCGGGGTTCTCGGTGACCCTCTGACCCGAGCGCGAGGATGGAGGACGGAGGACGGAGGAGGGACCCACGCGCTGGGTGGTCCGACGGGCGGGACGACCGCCCGCCGCCTCCCGCTCACGCGGTGCCTGTCGCGCTCCCTGCGCGTCCGACAGCGCCCGGCAAAGCCAGAGCTGGGGCTCCTCGCGGGCTCCCTGCGCTGTGGATCTCTCCTTGAAGCTCCCCTTCCGTGCGCCCTGGGTGCGCCGGGGCACACAGGTGGGTCTTCTTGGGCGCAGGGATCCCTGAGGTGGACTCTTGGCTGCCAGAACACAGCTGAGAGCCCCGCCACAGAGAGGCCCAGGGTTATGGCCCCCTCCACTGCAGCACCCTGACCTCTTCCCGCCCAGAGTAGTGGGGCACAGGCTGGCTGGGTGGGACTTAACCAGTGCGTTCCTGCTGGAGCCAGGATCAGAGCCGAGGGAGGGCAGAGACACAGGGTTCAACCTTCCCTCAGTGCCCTGTGTCCTGGCTGCACTGCCTCTTGCTCCCCAGGAGGCTGCCACCTCCCCAGGTGCAGCACCTGGTTCCCAGCCCAGGGCCCAGCCTGCTCTGTAACCAAGCCCCTGTGTGTGTGGAGCACAGAGCTGGGAGTCCTGGGAGTCCACTTCTCACCAGCCAGCCCCTACTTTCTGGTCCCTTTCAACTCTAAAGCCACAATTCTTTATCTGGATAAGTGCATATGGGACAACAGAAGGCAAGGAATGGGAACTTTAGGGAAAAGTCAGATGGCATCTTAAGTGGGGAGCCTTTGTTTCACAGTGTACAGGACACTAAAGGCGTTCCCACAAATAATCTGCAGAATTCTGCCCTGAATCAAGTCAGTGGATCTGAGGCCAGAAGCCCAGGAGTCTTCTTCAGAAAATCCTCCCTTTGAAGCAGTGCCTTTAGCTTTGGGATGGCCTGTGTACAGTCCACCCAGTCAGCCCCCACTGCCCTTGGGCAGGCCTGCCTCGGTGGGCACTCCCAGGTCTCTGGCACCACTGGGGGTGGCTGTGCAGTTGCCCCTTCTGCTTTGGTCAGTGGCTGCCTGGCTTCACTCGGCATCAGAGGCACACTTGGCCTCAGACATATTGTCCTATGAGATGTCAAAGTTGAAAATGCAGGAATGTGGGAACATAATATGGCACATCCTCTCTGGAAAACATTTTGGCAATTTCTTAAAAAACAAGACATGCAACTACCATATGGCCCAACAGTTGCACTCTTGGCATTTGTCCCAGAGAAGTGGGAACACTTACATGAACACCTGTGCACACATGTTCACAGCAGCTTTTTTGTCCTGTCCCCAAACTGCAGCCAGCGCAGGTGTCCTTCGACAGGGAAGTGGTTGAACAAGCTGTGGTTCTTCACCATGGGACACGCATTAGAGGGCAAAGGACCCCACCTCTGATACAGCAGCCTAGACAGACCTCCAACTGAGTGCAAAAAGCTGCCTTGAAAGGTTGTGTACAACCTGGTGCCATTTGTATGACATTCTTGACATGATAAAATGATAAAGTGGAGAACAGGTTTCTGGGGTTAGAAGGAGAGGGGCAGGGGGGCGTGGCTGTGGCTATAAGAGGGCATGAAGGGTCCTTGTAGTCTTGAAATGCTCTGCATCTTGACCATGTTGATGTCAAGATCCTGGCTGTGGCGTTGCACTAAAGCTATGCAGGCACCACTGGAGGCAACTGGACAAAGAGTACACTGGATTACTGTGCTACCTCTTACAGCTGTGTGGAGGGCACATTCATCTCAAAATTAAAAGTTTAGTGAAAAAATCCTATAGTGGCCTTGGAGTCTCTCTTACCCACTCCTTCTTATTATGGTTACAGGAACTGAAACCCAACAGTGCTATGCTGTGAGGATGACCTGTGGGCACTGGGTCCCTGGTCACAGCCCAAGAGAGAGAATCCCATGATCCTCTTCAGTCTGGGCTTTGCTGAACTGTGATTCCCACACATGCTCACCCACTAGCCCCGATTCTTGTCCTCCTCCTTTCTTTCCTGCTCCTTCCATCAAGTTTCCAATAAGCTTTTGAGAGCCTGGGTTCTGGAACTTGCCTTGCTGGGAATCCTATGGTCAGGCCAAAGCAGAGCAAGATGTGGTAGAGTTCCAGGCCTGTCCCTGTCCCAGCCAGCAAGGTCAGCCAGCATCTTTGACCATGCATGCTTGATGGCTTAAAATAAGGATATTGACTCCTGGTCAGATGTATGATTCACAAACATGAAGTGTGGCTGCTACTTCACTCCAGTCTTCCAAATCCTGGGAAATGCCTCCTGTGTTCAACCCAAATCCAAGCCTTGTGGGGAGGGGAATTCTGAGTTTGCAAGCCCAGAGCCACCTGTCCTGTTTCTACCTTACCTCTCCAGGTGACACCACCTCCCTGAGGCCTGGACCGTTCTGGCAGGTGCAGCACATCTCCCACATGTGCCGAGCCATCTTCTGAGACCGTCCCTTCCCTTGTGAAGGCCACACCCTAACCCTGAAGAGGGACAGATGGCAGTAATTCAGGCCCTGCACCCCACAGCCAGTGAAGATCAGAGCCAAGTTTGAAACCAGCTCTAACTTAAAGCTCTCATTACCAAAACCATGCTCTCCCTGTGCCAGTTCATGGGCTAATAGAAAACACTGAAGTCAAAGCAGTGTGGCATTGGAGGAAGGCGTTTCTTCCTAGCTGCAGTCTGGGCTCCTTTCTTTGGGATGGGAATTGGTTCTCAAATCCCACAATGCGCTTTGTGACACCCCTGGTGGAACCCTGCTACCTGTATAAAATCAGTGGACATATTTGACGAGATGGCTGGTTCTGCTGGTTCTGCTGGAGTCTGTGTTTGTGGGCATGAGCCAGACTGCGCCCCTCACTTCTGTAGGTCTGAGGCACATGCCCAGTACACACGGTCCCCATCTGGTTCTGGCTGACCCCTGGGAACTCCCTTTGGCCCTAGGACTCCAGGTATGGGACACCTTTGGGTCACCTGCCAGCTGCTTTCAAACCCACCAATGTGAAAGCAGTTTATTTGAGGTCAGCAAGAGACAGAAGCCACCACAGAGGATAGCCAAGTCCTCAGACCAAGTGGCTGAACTTGCCTTCAGTCTGATGCCACTCATGAAAAATAATACTGAATGCTGCTGCACATTTTGTGTGGGTCCGTGTAAATGATCAGCACCTACCTGGTGTGTGTTCTGAGTGGTGATCTGCACCAGCCTGGCTGAGTCCTGTGTATGGTCCAACTCAGTCCCCCAGCAGCTCCAGGTGAACAGACTGCCTGGACTCACCCTGCGGCACTTGAAAGTCACACTGCCTTCAGCCTCTTAAAACGGATGTGCAAGAAGTTGTCCTAAATTAGTCAGACTGGTGACCTCAGGGGAGAGAACTAGCTATCAAGTTTTACAGGACAGCGCATTTCTTGTGTAATAAAAGTAGCTTATGAGTTACATTCTCTACTGCTGTGGCTTTACCTGCCACCCACAGCTCACAGTCCTGTAGTCAGAAGTCAGGCGCTGTGAAGAGCATGACAACCAGCCAGCAATAAAACCAGAAATCTGCACCATCATGACTTTTCTGGAACCCAACAGAGACTGAGGTGGCAGGGACACAGGGAGGTCCAAGGAGAGATGGGCCACACCTCCTCACCTGCTGGCGAGGGGGTTCGAGGAAGCACCGTTGAGGCCTTTCTGAAGGTCAGGAGAGGGCCAGAGGGGCGTGTGGACCCCAGGAGAGGCAAAGCCATGGGGTTTCCAGGGCAGGCTCTTCTGCAAGGGCCCCCCGGGACTGCGGGACAGAGTGGCAGCAGTGTAGTTGGGAAAGGCCCCTGCTGTCAGGCCTGCAGAACAGCTGCAGCTGCACCCCTCCTGATCCTGCTTCCCCAATTCCCTGCGGGAATGCAGTTTGAATCCACCCAGCAAAGTTGAGAGCCAGCTGGGGCCCTCCGCCCTCTCAGCCTATTTTCCTTTCATTTGGCAATCCTGAGAGAGGGTGTGGGGGCTGGGAGGCCGGGTAGGGGGATCAACAGCAGGCCAGCAGGGCTGTAAGGGTGTTTTAACATATGCTAACTTCTTTATTTCTCAGGACATTCCCATGTTCACTCCCATTTGGCAGGCAGCTCACCACAGTGACGCCCTCGTGCGGCTGGAGTGTATGAGGTGGTAGTTCACACGATTCCAGACATGGGACGGGCTGGGGACGCTCACACATCCACCGAGAGGCCCTGGGAGACATGAAATGTGGAAATTCAGGGACAACTGGAGCACCAGCCAGTAGGATTTGCGGCTTGGGAATATTCTCAGACTTTGGCAGTTAAATTAAGGAACCTGGAAGTCCTCACATCTCCTGTGACATGGCTAAGCTCCGGAGTAACAAGATGGTGCTGTTGCTGGATATCAAAATGGAACCGTGACTCATACCATTTATTACACATACATATGTGGCATATATGTGAACTTATGGTCTTGATAACACCCAATTCATACGTGTATCTGGTGCAGAGGAGGAAACAAGAATGGGAACGTGGTAGGAACCCAAGATGTCAGAGGATCTTGGCTTCTTGCCACAGCGTACTCTCACATGGCTGTCGTTTTTAATTAAAAGTTGTGTTTGTTACAGAAAATGTATAAAATAGAGAAAGGTATAAAAATAATTCCATCATTTGAACCAGCCACTGTTCACATACTGGGATAGATTCTTCCAATTTTGGAGTACAGATATCATTGCAAATGAGGGGAGATCTGGCTCTCCTGCTCCCAAACACCCAATGGATGATGCATGGAGAAAATAAAGAAATATAAAAATTGCATTCACGTCAATTTCCCAAACCCACACAGCAGACATTGAAATAATTCCCTGATCACCATGGCTGAGCATGTGTTCTTGGCAGCCAACACAGACAGAGGCAATTAGCAACCTGGGACTCCTTCTTGACAAGTAATCATTGCTGCTTTAAGATCAGAAGCAAAATGTAGCATTTACGGAGCCTAAGATTTAAAAAATTATTTCCAGAATGCTGTATTTTAGTGGAGGCAGAGAAAGAAGATGTGGTAGAGTTCCAGGCCTGTCCCTGTCCCAGCCAGCAAGGTCAGCCAGCATCTTTGACCATGCATGCTTGATGGCTTAAAATAAGGATATTGACTCCTGGTCAGATGTATGATTCACAAACATGAAGTGTGGCTGCTACTTCACTCCAGTCTTCCAAATCCTGGGAAATGCCTCCTGTGTTCAACCCAAATCCAAGCCTTGTGGGGAGGGGAATTCTGAGTTTGCAAGCCCAGAGCCACCTGTCCTGTTTCTACCTTACCTCTCCAGGTGACACCACCTCCCTGAGGCCTGGACCGTTCTGGCAGGTGCAGCACATCTCCCACATGTGCCGAGCCATCTTCTGAGACCGTCCCTTCCCTTGTGAAGGCCACACCCTAACCCTGAAGAGGGACAGATGGCAGTAATTCAGGCCCTGCACCCCACAGCCAGTGAAGATCAGAGCCAAGTTTGAAACCAGCTCTAACTTAAAGCTCTCATTACCAAAACCATGCTCTCCCTGTGCCAGTTCATGGGCTAATAGAAAACACTGAAGTCAAAGCAGTGTGGCATTGGAGGAAGGCGTTTCTTCCTAGCTGCAGTCTGGGCTCCTTTCTTTGGGATGGGAATTGGTTCTCAAATCCCACAATGCGCTTTGTGACACCCCTGGTGGAACCCTGCTACCTGTATAAAATCAGTGGACATATTTGACGAGATGGCTGGTTCTGCTGGTTCTGCTGGAGTCTGTGTTTGTGGGCATGAGCCAGACTGCGCCCCTCACTTCTGTAGGTCTGAGGCACAAGCCCAGTACACACGGTCCCCATCTGGTTCTGGCTGACCCCTGGGAACTCCCTTTGGCCCTAGGACTCCAGGTATGGGACACCTTTGGGTCACCTGCCAGCTGCTTTCAAACCCACCAATGTGAAAGCAGTTTATTTGAGGTCAGCAAGAGACAGAAGCCACCACAGAGGATAGCCAAGTCCTCAGACCAAGTGGCTGAACTTGCCTTCAGTCTGATGCCACTCATGAAAAATAATACTGAATGCTGCTGCACATTTTGTGTGGGTCCGTGTAAATGATCAGCACCTACCTGGTGTGTGTTCTGAGTGGTGATCTGCACCAGCCTGGCTGAGTCCTGTGTATGGTCCAACTCAGTCCCCCAGCAGCTCCAGGTGAACAGACTGCCTGGACTCACCCTGCGGCACTTGAAAGTCACACTGCCTTCAGCCTCTTAAAACGGATGTGCAAGAAGTTGTCCTAAATTAGTCAGACTGGTGACCTCAGGGGAGAGAACTAGCTATCAAGTTTTACAGGACAGCGCATTTCTTGTGTAATAAAAGTAGCTTATGAGTTACATTCTCTACTGCTGTCGCTTTACCTGCCACCCACAGCTCACAGTCCTGTAGTCAGAAGTCAGGCGCTGTGAAGAGCATGACAACCAGCCAGCAATAAAACCAGAAATCTGCACCATCATGACTTTTCTGGAACCCAACAGAGACTGAGGTGGCAGGGACACAGGGAGGTCCAAGGAGAGATGGGCCACACCTCCTCACCTGCTGGCGAGGGGGTTCGAGGAAGCACCGTTGAGGCCTTTCTGAAGGTCAGGAGAGGGCCAGAGGGGCGTGTGGACCCCAGGAGAGGCAAAGCCATGGGGTTTCCAGGGCAGGCTCTTCTGCAAGGGCCCCCCGGGACCGCGGGACAGAGTGGCAGCAGTGTAGTTGGGAAAGGCCCCTGCTGTCAGGCCTGCAGAACAGCTGCAGCTGCACCCCTCCTGATCCTGCTTCCCCAATTCCCTGCGGGAATGCAGTTTGAATCCACCCAGCAAAGTTGAGAGCCAGCTGGGGCCCTCCGCCCTCTCAGCCTATTTTCCTTTCATTTGGCAATCCTGAGAGAGGGTGTGGGGGCTGGGAGGCCGGGTTGGGGGATCAACAGCAGGCCAGCAGGGCTGTAAGGGTGTTTTAACATATGCTAACTTCTTTATTTCTCAGGACATTCCCATGTTCACTCCCATTTGGCAGGCAGCTCACCACAGTGACGCCCTCGTGCGGCTGGAGTGTATGAGGTGGTAGTTCACACGATTCCAGACATGGGACGGGCTGGGGACGCTCACACATCCACCGAGAGGCCCTGGGAGACATGAAATGTGGAAATTCAGGGACAACTGGAGCACCAGCCAGTAGGATTTGCGGCTTGGGAATATTCTCAGACTTTGGCAGTTAAATTAAGGAACCTGGAAGTCCTCACATCTCCTGTGACATGGCTAAGCTCCGGAGTAACAAGATGGTGCTGTTGCTGGATATCAAAATGGAACCGTGACTCATACCATTTATTACACATACATATGTGGCATATATGTGAACTTATGGTCTTGATAACACCCAATTCATACGTGTATCTGGTGCAGAGGAGGAAACAAGAATGGGAACGTGGTAGGAACCCAAGATGTCAGAGGATCTCGGCTTCTTGCCACAGCGTACTCTCACATGGCTGTCGTTTTTAATTAAAAGTTGTGTTTGTTACAGAAAATGTATAAAATAGAGAAAGGTATAAAAATAATTCCATCATTTGAACCAGCCACTGTTCACATACTGGGATAGATTCTTCCAATTTTGGAGTACAGATATCATTGCAAATGAGGGGAGATCTGGCTCTCCTGCTCCCAAACACCCAATGGATGATGCATGGAGAAAATAAAGAAATATAAAAATTGCATTCACGTCAATTTCCCAAACCCACACAGCAGACATTGAAATAATTCCCTGATCACCATGGCTGAGCATGTGTTCTTGGCAGCCAACACAGACAGAGGCAATTAGCAACCTGGGACTCCTTCTTGACAAGTAATCATTGCTGCTTTAAGATCAGAAGCAAAATGTAGCATTTACGGAGCCTAAGATTTAAAAAATTATTTCCAGAATGCTGTATTTTAGTGGAGGCAGAGAAAGAAAACAGGTGATTGTACAAACCCTGCCCTCAAAATGGGGTGGGTGGGCTGCCATTCTGACATTCAGCACCTCACATGCCTGCACCCCACTGAGACCCCATTTCCAATAGCAAAGGAAGTACCTCGTGTCACTTCCCACTGGCATGGCTATGGTCACCTCTGTCCCTCAGTCAATCATTGCAGCCAGGGGATTACAGTTCTCTCACTGGAAGCACCAGGTCTGGTGCCTGGAGGCAAGGTCAGCCCTGCTCAAGCCATAAGACAGGCTGGCAAGGGAGTGACTCCCCTCAGAGGAGCCAAGGGTCTATTAAAAAGCCTCTATCAGGAGATCTTAGGACTGCCTACTAGCTGGCATATTGCAGAGTGTGCAGTGAATAACAAACTGTCTTGTTATGCTCATTGCATGGATTTGTGCAGTAGCTCAGTAGAAACAGGGATACCTAAGATATAGGAATGCAGCCAGGTGATCCTCTGCTCCTCACAAGGGAGCTTTAAGAAACTGTGAATGGATGGAGAAGACTTTGCAGTTAATATAGAAATCTTGGCACAGTGTATTTTGTATCTATGCTGCATAACAAACCACTCCAAACTTAGCAGCTCAAACTAACAGCAAACAAGCACTCCTGTCTCACAGAGATTCTGAGAGTCAGGAACCTGGGTGTGGCTTTGTTGGCTGGGTCCAGCTCAGGAGGCTGCAGTCAGGGTGTCAGCAGGGCTGTGTCCTCTGAAGGCTCAACAGGGTGGGAGGCTCCCTCTCCAAGAAGGCTCCTTGTGCTGGCACTGGCAGCAGGAGGGGGCCTCCATTCACACATGGACTCCCCGTGGAGCTGTTCACAGCATGGCACTACAGAGGGTGCCAGCTTCCTCTACAGGGACACAAGAGCTATAGGCAGTCCAGGTCTGCTGTAACCTGGTTTTGGCAGTGAGATGCACACATCATTTACATGTTTCCTATTAGTCTCACTGCCCTCTGGGCACAACGTTGTGGGGCTCACAAGGGCATGAATACCATGAAGTGTGGACCATGGGAGCTGCAGCCACACATGGGGAAGTAGTGCCCTCAGCTCCAATGGGGGGTGCTGCAATGGGCATGGGGAGCAGCACTTGAGGGGCTGCATGGGGCATGGGGGTCAGCATGTGGGGGGGCTCCACTGGCACAGGCTCAGGGCCTGGAGATGGTGGTGCCTTGGTGTCACCTAACAAGCTCAGCAGCAGGAGACAAGCAGGAGAGGCCAGTAGGGACCAGTCCATGTGGAGCAGCTGTTCAGCAGTGCTTGGTGAGGGCCTGCTATGAGCCAGTCCTCTGTGACAGAATGTGCAAGCAGTGCTCCAGAGAAGAGGCTGGTGTGGGGCAGAGCTTGGGGGTCTGGAGAGACTCTGTGGCACCACAAGGTGCTGCTTCTAGAAGCTTCCAGAAGGCCAGCTTCAGTGACTCCCACATCCTTCTGGATGAGCCCCAATCTCCCTCTTCTGTGTTGGGAAGGGAGCTCCTGCAGGTTTTACTGGAGAGCAGAACATGTACTCTCTACTCCTGGGGGAATAACCCACCATTCAGCAAGCATTTTAGGGGACCTGGTGCTGCATGGGGCCCCAGCGGGAGGGCAGAGAGCAGGGCCTGGATGGGATGAGGTGATCCCCGAGCCCTGGACACTGAAAGGACAGGCTGGCCTGGCCAGAGCTCGGGTGCTGATGGCTTTGCTGGTGGCTTATCTAGTTGGGAGTCCCATCTGCTGGGCAGCTGAGGGTCTTTGCATCCCCTCGGCTTCGGCCCTGGGTGCTGGTCCTGAGCACCGGCAGGGCTCTGGAGGTATGGCCCTGGTCATCTCTGCCCGTGGGCAGGGTCTTGCTTTCCCAAGCTCCCCTCTGGGACCCACAGAGACAGGGCGGAACAAGTGCCATGGCAGGGCTGGCTGACCCAAACCCCTGCAGCAGCCTGGCTACTGCCCGACTGGGGCCGAGGTGCCGGTGTGCACCCCACCCAATCCCCTGGCAGCTGACTCATCCTCAGGGCCTCTCCAGCAGCTCTCCCCGCTTATTCCATGTCAGCCCCAAGGCCCAGAGGTGTCCCCGCCTCTTGGAGACAGGTGGACACTGTTCCCACTTTGAAGTGGCTTGGCCTTTGGGGATCTGGCCCAGGAATCTGTCTATTTAACCTGCCCCCAAGTGACCATGAGGCAGGAGATTTGGAGAGTCACTCAGGAGGGCTGGGATGTCACCCTCTTTAGGCCACAGTGGGTGCCCTTGGTCGTCCGTCCATTTCAGACTCCTGGATGGGGGACTGGGAAGGTGTGTGCCCCAACAGCATTCCCGAAGCCCCAGCTCATGTGCTTTGTCCCCTTGCCCACAGGGGCAGGGATGCACTCGTCCCCATTTATATCTTGAGTTTTCATTCATTTACTTATTCTAATGCAGGAGTGGTCTCGGCCACCAGAGGTGCCCTGGGGCCTGGGCTAGCAGAGCTCAGGCAAGCTCCAGACCCCTCTTCCAGCCTCAGGCACTGGGCCAGCCTGGGGTACCTTGAAAGCTGCAGCCTCAGCCATGCCCAATTCCATGACCTGCTGGTGTGGAGGGTGGGCAGGCAACAGGGCATCAGTGTGGGGATTTTCTGCCTCTTGATTTTCCAGGATGAAGCCTCGGGCCACTGGTGGCTTTTGTGTTCTTCCCCAGCTGATTTTTTAAAAATCATGCTTGACTTCTTACCCACTGTCTCCTTGGCCCCAAAATACTATCCTATTTGTGGGCAAATCAGGGCTTAACTCCCATGGGGCAGCAGACTTTCACCAAGAGGCATGAACAGAAAGCCCCCATTCTTGGGTTGCTCCTCACCTCACAGGGATTTGCTGGAGCGCCTGGCAGAGGGCTGGTCTGTGTTTCCGTGTATCTTGATTTTGAGGACAGAAATGGGGGTCTGGTGTGGGGATGTTGCCCTGAGATCTGGGTCCAAGTCACTCCATGTCAAGGTCAGGGTATCATTTCCTGTTGGTCCTGGGTTCAGGGACCTGTGAAGAAGAGTTGGTGGGATGGTGCCTCCCACGGGTGGCAGTCGTGGGTATGGCCGACCCACCCTCGCCTGGGCACGGCTCAGACTGACCCCATCTCTCCTCCCACTCAGCGGCTTTCCCTACATCTTGCGCTTGTATCAGAGTATAGATGAACACAGTTTAAAACCTCTTAAATAACACAGGGGATCTAATCATGAAAATGGTGGGCCCCTGCTATGAGGTGTTTTATCTTCTGCTTTCTTTCTGGCCTGGAACATATGCCCTCCATGGTGTCACCACGAGCCTGCTGTGCGAGTCTGCGCCCTCACCTGGACTCAATGCATCTCCAGGCAGGCGGCTATCTGGCCTGGCCCTTGGAAGGAATCACTCACCACCTTGCAGCTGCCAGTGTACGTTCTCCAGCCTGTGTTCTGAAGGGACCACATTGCATTTCCACCTCACAGTCTGTCCCTGACTAAGCCTTTGCCCGGCTCTCAGAACCCTCCTCAGAGCTGGGCCTTGACCTTGGACATCTGTATCTGGCCTTGCATCTTTGTCTCGCTTTAGCAGGAGTCCTGTTAGATAGGTTTAATGTGAACCCCCCATCCTTAATGTCTGATCAGTTGCCTTGTCCCTCCCCCCCAGGTGGCCTGAGCACCCTGGCCTGCCTTCACCAAGATCCTGAGAGGCCAGTTAGGCAGGACCCTGGACCGCTGATGTTTCCCCTTGGTATGTCTCTGCCTGCTGACCCAGTCCTGAGCTGCAGGCCTCACTTTCCATGCTGTCTTCTGCACCTAGACATTGTCTACACCTCATTGTGTTCGAGCACAACACCTTGAACAAGACCAGCTTTCACTGTGTGAGCTTCTGTCCAGCTCTGGGTACCCTCCAGCACACCGCAGGGTTCTAAACACCCATAGCGACTCTGCTTGGCTTTTGAAGGGTGGCAGAATAGGCCACCCCAAAACGTGCTTCTTGGCATAAGGATTCTTTTGGGCTGATTTTTTTGACAAACAGCAGGCCCGGGAGGTGGTCTGAAACAGAGTAGAAATTTACCTGTTGTGAGGACATTCATCCAGGCAAAGGAGGCCTCCGTCAGCTGAACTGTCCCCACTCCAGACCCCAAGGAGGTGACTCCAGGTGACAGGAGACTCTTACCCAGGTAGGAGGCAGGCACGGACACTTCCTACGCGGGGCTTTTTGTGGTTGCCCACGACCAGCCCCCTCCACACATTTGTTTTGTCTTTAGCTCAGGAAATTCCAGGGTATATAGGAGACCCATCAGAAACCAGGGACAAAGACCAAACATATATTTCCTATTACACCACAGGCTGCCCTATCAGAGCGTAGACAGGGATGCGCTAACAGTGGCAGTCCTGCTCCCGCGGTATTTTCCCCTGCATGCCTTTCCTGCATTTGCAGAGACAGGTCTGTAGTGTCGCTCCCTTTTTTGAGGTCACCAGTCCTGTGGGGGCAGGCACCACTCCTAGCAGCCACCTCCAAATGCAGTGGCACAGGGCCAGGGCCTCGGCCTGTGAGTCTGGGGGCTGTGGTTTCCTCTGCCGCACCTCCCGCCCCAACGCCCTGCCCGAATGTCTCCTAGCTACTTCCTGCCTTGCCATCCTCCTTGCTGTTCCTGATTTATGTAAGAGATGGCTGCGCGTCTCCTTCACACCCTGCAAGCCTCTGGTGATGCCCACCTGGGTCAGCACCGCGTCCTGAGGCCTGGCATGCCCCAGGTGCCCTGCGAATCAGCACCTGGACCCTGAAGCTCAGATTCCTTGACTCAGGGGCTGTGGCCCTGGGTGGTGGTGGTGCTAGGCCCCCAGCAGCCTGGAAGGGGAACACAGGTATGCCATCTCCAGGCTGCCCCCTCGGTGCTGGGGGACAGTGGGGACAAAACCTCCAGGCCCTCTCCCACACTCACCCCCTACCCTCCTCTGCAGGGCTAGACAGACAGGGAGACCAGGCCAGGGATGATTGTGGGCATGTCCTGGAGCTGGTGGGTTGGAACAGAGGGCAGGACCACAGGCCAGGGGGCTTTTTGAGGCCACGCCGTCACATCTGACATCCTTGTGTCAGGCAGAGTGTGCAGGCAAGCTCAGCATGGGAGGGATTCTGGGCTCATCTGGTTTGTGGTGCTGGTTCAGTCATTCAGGAACCTAAGACGACTTTTGGGCAGAATGATTACCCATTTGTAAAAGAAGGAAATTAAAGCTGCCAAGCAGCTCTATTTCTGAGGCAGTGACAATTTGTGTTGCCTGTTTTCTGAGGGGCAGGAAGCAGGGAAAGGTGTCACCGTGACAGTGGCAGGGATGGGAGTCCAAGGGGCCACAGGTGAGGGAGCACCTAATGAAAGGTGGAGCCTCAGGGCCCGGGGGGTGTGGGGGCGGTGACTGCCAGCTCTCTCCACCCTGCTGTTTCCAGAACATGGGTTGTGTGACCCCAGAAGCCCTGGCTGGCCCACTGTCACATGCTGGCAGAGCTCTTGGCAACAGTGGGAAGTAGTCCAGGGTTCCAGGTGGGCTCACCAGAGGAAGCCCATGGCCCAGACTGGCAGCGGGGCAAGCCCTTGGCTGCAGAGGCTGGGTCTCCTGAGACCACCTTAGCCAGAAAAGCCCAGTGCCAGTCGATCCCCAGGCCAGGCAGACACCGCTGTCCCCTCACTGCGCATAAGATGCCAGGGTTGTGTAGGCTCCATGCTGCCCTCCGGGGCCACCTTGTCTGCAGGGACCTCCAATCTTTCTCAGAGCCAGTGACCTTGCCTCAGGAGCCACTCTAGCCCTAGCCCCATCCCTAGCCCTAGCCCTAACCCTGACCCTCGCAGAGCTCAGGCAAGCTCCAGACCCCTCCTTCCAGCCTCAGGCACTGGGCCAGCCTGAGGTACCTTGAAAGCTGCAGCCTCAGCCACGTGCAATTCCATGACTTGCCAGTGTGGAGGGTGGGCAGGCAGCAGGGCATCAGTATGGGGACCCAGACCCCAGGGAGGCCCTCCACACACACTGGCTGTATCTTTATTGCACTTTCACCACATTGTGAACTATTCCACAAAAATGCTGCTTCAGCCCACAGAGCCTCTACCCCAAGCAAGCCGAGGACATCCCAGGAGCTGTTGGGTGTGCTGATGAGCAGAAAAAGTGGCCCCTTATGTATCTCTGAAACCACACTCGAGTGTTCGTCTGTCTACCCAAGTCCAGGACAGCTGCCAGGAGTCTAGTGGCCTCAGACGAGACTCAGTCCTCTAAGTGCGGGGCTCCCGGAAGGGCAAGGACGATTTAATTTTAGGTCAGGTCAGGGTGTGAGAGCGCCGGAGAACTCAGGGGGCAGCCCCTTATGTGGGCCTGGGAGGTGGTTGGGCTTATAGGCACCTGTTTGTGCACACATACGCCATGTATAAATACAAAGTAATAAATGAAGGCCTCCTTCCCATACAAAAGGGCGGTGGCCCCCGCCGCCAGGCTGCAGCTGTCCAGGAGCACTGAACACCCCTTCCCCTGCCTCTCCTGGTCTTGAATGAGTAAGATGTGTCCTGTGGGACCCAACGCCGAGGAGCTCACACTCCAGAGGCTCATGGACTCTGGGAGGCAGCCCTGTCCACTCCAGCTTCTCTGGGCTCGTGGAGGGGTGCATGTGTCTTCCCAGTGGCAGCCGGCGGCTTGCGGTCACTACCTCCCAGTGGGGACTCTGTGCTCGGGGTCCAGGTCGTCCTGTACCACGCTATGGAGCCCGTCGCTCTCCACGCAGTCCCTGACAGCCTGGAGTATAATGCGGAGCCGCCGGTCCAGAGCCTCCAAGTGCGGCTGGTACAGGATGGGGGCCACCCGATCCTTCTGCAGGGACTCTGCCATCAGCAGGCTCAGCTTGTACTCCTCCTTGGCCAGGAGCTGCAGCCGCAGGTAGGTGGACCTCCTGATCCTGCAGGGGAAAGAGAGGTGAGGCCTGGCCCGAGGGCAGAGGCCTACAGGAGTGGGGTGGACCTGGGAGGGTCTGGGTCTGGGCCTGCTGCTCAGGGGCACATGGTAAGGGTTCCCACCTTGAAGGAAGGGTGACTGCATTCCTCCAGGCAGACTCAGTGGGGAGGGACAGCCTGCTCACTCAGGAGTCTGTCTGGGGTGGGCAGCCCTGAGGTGCATCCCTGGAGAAGGCACTGGGCAGTGCCTGCGGCTGCCTCCCCAGCCAGAAAAGGAGGACCTGGGTTGGGGCCCCGCGGGGTGGCAGAGTGGCAGAATCTGGTAGCCATGGCTCTGGAGAGCAGACTGGCATCTGGGCCTCAGTGTCCTCACCTGTAAGATGAGCTGTTAGGGCTGAGGAGACACTGCACCTGGGGAAGGGCTCTGGGTTACCAGGGCTGGGGTTCTAGGCGGGATGCGGCATGCAGCTCAGGGCATGAATGCCTTTCCCCTCTCTGTGCCATGGCAGGGTGGGGTTGGAAGGCTTGTGGCCTCGGCTGCAGCAATGGTGACAGTGACAGGCCAGCTCCCTGGCTGGGTGGGGTGAACACCGTACCTGCAGCACTGCTGTAAAGGCGCCAGAATGGAGAGCTCATCATGGGAATATTTTCCAAACCTGCAGAAGAAAAGCAGAGTTGTCCTGGGGCACATGCAGCAGGACCTGTGTGAGAGGCCACAGCGCAGGGTCTTGTGGGGGTGGGCAGTGTGGCCTGGCCCCTTGGTCCCCAGCCTCAGATGCAGGGCTGGGGATGAGAAGGGTGCCTGGCGTTCTGGCCCCTGGGCTGAGCAGAAGCTCATGGATGAAGTGTCCTGGGCAGGTCAGCCTACAGTCAGGCCATAGTAGCATCTTTCACAGCTGGAATGTGTGACCCACACATAAACTGTCTGGGACCTGAGAGCCAGTGTCTCTGAGGCATCTGAGTGCTTGCAGCTTGAACCACTGGGATGTGGAACCAGCGGCCAGCCCATTAGCCACAGGTCCAGCTGATGGGGCAGGGAGGGCCATCTGTCCCAGGCAGCTGGTCCCAGACTCCCACGTGTGGGGTAGACTGCCTCTGACTGCTCCTCACAGCCCTGCTTTTCTCAGCCAGCAGCCTCTCTGGGCCTCAGGCTCCCCAAGACAACACTAAGTTAGAACAGGATTCCGCTCACAGGGTTACTGGGAGAATGAGGAGAAACAAAGGCATAAACACCAGAGCCCTATTTTCCGCCCAGTCGGAGCTGGGGGCCAGCGTCCTGGCCACACACAGAGGAGGCCTCTGGGGACGGCCATGTCCCTTTCACTGGGAGCCTGTTCCTCTTGGGAACCGGAAGGTGGGTCAGGCCCTTACTGTGTCTGGAAGAGCGAGAACAGGGCTCACCCTCGCCCGTTGTCCAAGTGGATGATGAACGTCTTGTTCCCAAACTTTTCGAAAGTCTCATAGTGATGGCGGTCCATGTTGCCTGCAGAGAGAAGCAGAGCCAGCCGCAGCTGCTGAGAGTGTCCTCCCTCCCACCTCCTGTCCACCTGCACAGGGAGCACAGTAAAGGCAGGCGCTCCAGCCCTTCTTCAACCTCCCCCGCGGGTCAGTGCCTGCAGGTGCTCCCAGTGCAGGCGGCCGGCCCACTCAACGTACCCATGAGGAAGTCAAAGATGGTCATGTCCATGACATCCAGGATGCGGTGGCTGCTGTCATAGGGGGGCGTCTGCTGCACCTCTTCACAGTAGTCGGGGTCCACCTCCCATCTGTGGGGGAGCAGTATGAGAATCCAGGGCCCTCCTCTGTATGTACAGGGAGGGCCAAACCAGCTGTGGGCCACCCAGATCAGCACAGCAGGATTTACACGGCAGCAAGAAAGACTGTGATTGAGAAAGATGTCACTGCAGAACAGTGTCTGGAGGTGGACTTGTGCAAGCCTCGAGCTGAGGCTGCATTAACAGGAGTATGGGGTGGGGAGGTGATCAAGCCACACCATGTGTCCCAGAATGACCAGCCTGGAGGCTTTCAGGGTTTTGGAGGGTCACTGTTAGGAAGCAGGGCCCAGCATCACACCTGCAAGGACAGCTCTGCAGCTGGAAAAGCAGGGGGTGTCTCTCTTGCACAAGGGACAGAAAGTTGCATCCAACACTGACAGGTGATTTCCAGAGACCCTGGTAGGCGGCGCAGCCCACTGCAGGGCTCTTCTTGATTCTGAGCGTGCAGTCCTTTCTTCCCACCTTTCAGCTCTTTCGTCCAGGGCCCCCCACCCCCATTCCAACCACGTGGGTCAGGCAGGCTGGGTCTGCCTCCTCCTCCTCTGCTGGCACTTCCACCTGTGTGGCCTCTGGAACTTGTTTTCTTGCTGTAAAATGGACAGAAACCAGCACCCCCAGGGCCCTAGGGCCCTGCTCACTCACTCTGCCTTCTTGCGCTTGTGGTAGGACCGGCGCCAGGGGTTCCGCCACGTCTTCCTCTTGGCCAGGGCCAGGTCCGGCAGGAAGGCTGCCAGTGAGCCCTCTATCTGGTCTGGCCTCCCACACAGGGCGTGCTCCGTGGAGCAGTAATAGGAGCACTCGCCGTAGAAGCAGATGTTGTTGGCTGCCGGACGGGACACAGCGGTTACAGGGCCACATCCTCTCAGGCCATCCCCACCAGTCAGCGAACACTCTCCAAGCCGTGCCTGCCCCACCTGAATCTGGGTCTCAGCCGACCGACAGCTCCCACCCTGTCACAGGAGGTGGAGGCCCAGCAAAGGGAGCTGGCCTCACCAGGCCACCAGCAGTGGGAATTAGTTAGGGCCTGAACTCAGGTTCTTTCCGGTCAGCCTCAGAACTAAGGGACTGGATTGAGGGATATTCTAGAGTCAACGTTCAATGGCTCAAAAAGGCATTCACACCACAAAGAAGGTGAAGAGGCTTCTAGAGTGGGAGAACATGTTTGCAAATCCTGTATTTGGTCAGAATCTTAAATTTAGCATATATATAAAGAACTCTTCCAACTCGGTAATAAAAAGATAAATGACCCCATTAACAAATGGGCACAGGACTTCAATAGATATTTTTCCAAAGAAAATAAATGCTCAACAAGGATACAGAAAGACGCTCAACACCATTAGCCATCAGAGAAATGCAAATCAAATTCATCACTCACATCCACTAGGATGGTTTTAATTTAAAAAACAACAGATAGTAACAACTTGTTGAGGATATAGAGAAGAAAGTGAAGCCCTAGTGCACTGCTGGCAGGATGTGCAATGCTGCAGCCACTGAGGGAAACAGTTTGGTGGTTCCTCGAGAAGTTAGAATTACCGTGTGGCCAGCAATTCTGCTCCTGGGCAGTGCCCGAGAGAAATGAGAACATACACAAAAGCTTGTCCACAGATGGTCACAGCAACACTATTCACTAAAGCCAAAGAGTGGAGAACGTGAATGTTCATGGGTGGTAAAAGGATAAACAATGTACCGGTGAAATGTAACATATTTAACTGTAAAAGGAATGAAGCTCTGGCACCTGCTAGACAGTTAAACCAGGGGAACATTGCTCTCAGTAAAAGCAGCCACTTGCCCCAAGGATATGTGCTGTTGGATTCTATTTAAGGACATGTCCAGAGCAGGCAAGTCCACACAGAAAAATTGGTGGCCACTGGGAGCAGGGGGCTTGGGGGACAAGAATAGGTGGGAGAGAATCAGGGGTGACTGCTAGTAGGGATAGGGTTCTTTTGGGTTGAGGAAAGTGTTCAGGAACTTGAGAGTGGTGAGTTGTACAGCAGGGTAAAATGTGCTAAAATCCACTGAGTTATACACTTCAAAATAGTAAATTATATCTCAATAAAAAGTAATTTTAAAACATGGGTACCACTTCTCCCAGGCCTGCCAGCTTGCCATGTTCACGGCTTTATGGCTGGAGGCCCTGGCTGGTTATCTCCTGCGATCAGGGTGGTTCTATGCTTGTGCGTTTACTGATGGATCCACATTCTCATGTTTAATTTTTCTATCTGTGGAGAAACCCTCAAGAGCCTGTGGCATAAAGAAATATGGAGGCTGGAGCCCTGAGGGCCATGGTCCAGCCCCTTCCCACCTGTGCAAATGCCCACAGGCATACTCACCCGCCATTGGAGCCAGAGTGCAAGCTGGCAGGGCTCTCCTAAACCGTGCACACAGGAGCACCAGCCTGCAGTCCAGAGGGGAGGGGAGCCTGCAGGGGGCCCCCACACACCTGGCACACAGCAGGCCCTGGTCTGCACTCCCCCCTCCTCCCTGTCCCCTCCTCCCCTCCCCTCGAGACCAGGAGCCAGCCTAGATAATTACTCTGAGAACCATCAAAGGTGAACAGCACAGCCTCAACCCTGGCTGCTCCGTTTCCAGAAGGAAATCTTGAACCAATCTCACTGGCCAGAGCCTGGAACTCGCCAATCTAACAGGCTAAACTGGCTTTAGAGAGACTCATGTTGGAACAGGAGGGCATTTCACAGCCACAGCCTCTTCCTCCACGGACCCAAATCCAGGTGAGCTCCGGGTCCATGGTCCCCCTCCTTCCTAGCTGGGCCCTTGGGCCTTCACCTCAGCCATAGCTGCACCTGACATGGGCCGAGGACTAACAGGGTGAGCAGAGGGCTTCTGACACCGGCAGGGGGGCTGGTCAAGGTGAGCAGTATTTAGATCACCCCAGTGCTTGGGGTGGGCTTGGGGAGGAAGGGCGCAAACCCTCCTTTATCTTAGTAATAATGATCAGATAGATGGGAGAAGGCCAGGGCCAGAGCTGACCTGGAGAGCCTGCCTTCCCCACACTCTGGGGTCCCCTCCTCTACCTGAGAACTTGGGTGAAGGGGGGCTTCCCGGAGGCAGGGAGTTGGCAAACATGGCTTTCTACAAGGACTGAGAAGGTCCCTCCCTGTGTGTCCTCAGGGTTGAAACCAGACCCCTCCTTCTCAAGGCCTCAGGGGTCTGCCCAGAAGGAAGCTGAGTCTGAAAAAGCGAGAATGAGCCATGCTTGCCCCACTCGGACAGCTCAGGAGGCAGCAGCCATGCAGCGTGGGGCTGGCCCTCCAGGGAGTGGCCTGAACACACCAGCTGAGGCCTGGGAACCCCTGCCCTCCATGTCCATAGACTGGACACAGGGTCCACTCTGTGTGGACAGAGTCCCTGTGGCCACTCAGTCAGACATGGCAGGAAAAAGAGCCAATTTCAAGACGCAGGGGCTGAGTGGCTGAGAGGGGACAGGAGGGGATCCTGGAGCGTATAATGCGTCTTGTCCTGCAGGGGCTTACACAGGTGGCCCCCCTTGTAGAAACCTGCAGAGCTGTGCCCTGGTGATGGTACACCTCTCAGGGTACATGACACATGGTGATAGACATTTACCCAAAAGGTTCAGAAAACATGTTCTGGGAATGAGAAAACCTGGGCTCTGAGCCAGCCTGCCTCTAGCAGCTTCAGTTTGCTTGTGCACGTCCACGTTCCCTGCCAGCCGCTGGCCCCCACCTGGCACCCATCCACCTGCTGGATGCACAAATTTACCCCTTTTCTGACTGCCTCAGAGGAGAGCTACTCAGAGCCTGATGGCAGAGGGATGTCTGTGTGCATTAAAGGCTGCACACGGGCCTGGCTCCCCCGGAAGCTTGCATCTATGGCAGTTTTGGGGGTGGATGGGTCTAGAAGTGCAAGCAAAGCACAGATTCACAAATGAATCCCAATATCACTTTTTCTAAATGAGATTAAAGCTGGCTCCCATCCTGCTTTAGAGAAAACCTAATATTTCCAAAGGCTTTCAGGAAGAAATCTGGCTGGCAGCAGGGGTGGTGGGAGCAGCAACAGTCTGGCTAGAGAAGCTACATGTCAGAAGCTGCAGGTAGAGCAGACCCTGGCAACACCTGCTGGAGGAGAGGTTTCAATAGTGTGCACAGACCAGGTGACTGACAGTTCCAACACGAGATGAGGTCGGGGTAGAACATGAAACCTCAGTCAAACTGGGGAGGGACATGTCTTGATGTGTCTGCGTACCAAGGAGTGACTTGTCTTTCATTTGTAAAGGACCAGTAGTCCTGTATGACCAGACATCAGTGCTGGGACTCTGGACACGTGGCTCCAGGGCTCCTCCCTTGGGAACCCAGGCTAAGGCTGTCTTTTTCCCTCCAGCTCGGTGGAAGGCCCTCTGCACCGAGGGAAGCACAACTGAAAATAGAAATCTCTTGATTTGTCTCCCTTTCTTGAGATTTCAAATTCCAGGGTCTGCACCTCAATAGGGAGATGGGCAACAATATGTAGCTGGCCCTCCGTGGCTCAGATCTCCAACACAGCAGCACGAGGGGGGCTGGGCAGCAACATGGGCAAATCTCAGAATGGTGGCATTGATGAAAGAGACAAGGATTAGTGCCCTACATGCCACTGCCTTGTGCAGCACTGTGGCAAAGCAAACTCCTGTAGAGACAGAAGCGGACAGCAGACCATGGGGGACACACAAGGAGGAGAGGCCTGGGGAATGGGGGGGCGGCACTCATGGGCAAAGGGCTCTGTGTACACAGGGCACCAGGTTGCCCCTTAAGGGACCAGGGGCCCACACTCCCTGACCAGCTGCTGGGACGAGGACAGGAGGAGGTACACAGCTCTGCCATGGGTAGGGTGGTGCTGGGCATTTTCAAACCTAGGGCTTCATTTGGAGAGTAGGGGTCTGTTCTGGCTGCCCCACTGCAAGAGGCACCCCAGTTTCCTGAATGAATTCACTTTGCCTTTTAATACAAACAAATGGTAGGAATAAACCATGTGCCCAGCCCAGGGGATGGAGTCCACGTGCAGGACCATTTTCCAGAACTCTAAGTCATGGCGGGGACTGTGCCCCCAGGGAGGGTGTGGCATAGGGTGAGGGGCAGGATCATGGCAGTGAAGCTCTTTTGCAGAACAGCCAGCAGGGTGCGGGGGGCTGTAGGCCAGGGGCAGGTACCTGGGGAGATGAAGAAGGTCCTCCACAGCTTCTTGTCCCGTGTGACGTCCCGGATCTCCTTGGTCATGTTGATCATCCTGCCGGCCACAGGAGGGACGCGGCGAAAGTCCAGGATCCTGAGGGAAGGGGCAGGGAGAGGGCCTTCACTTCTGTGCCCTTCTGGAGCGGCTCTGAGCTCAGCCAGTTCCACCACTGTCCATTCCTGTAGGCCCAGCTTTGGGGCCTGTGGCTCTGCCTGCTGGCCAGGGGCTCTCAGAACTGGCCCACAAGGACCAGATAAGGGGGCCCACAAGGACCCACAAGGACTGGCACTTATCTGATATTGGCCCTGTGAAGTGCCTGGGCAATGGAAACATGCCCCATTTCAGGGATGAATTTAAAACAGAATTAAGTTTAGTCAGTGGAACCCTTTCTTTGGCCTCCCTGCTCGCTTGGTTGGGTGCAGATGCCCTGTGAGCTTCTTGCTGAGCCTGGACGTCCAGGGGTCCTGCCGCACCCTCTGGGGAGGGTGCATGCTGTCCACAGAGGCTGCTGCCTCCTGCCTCCCACCCCTCCCCAGCAGGCATGCCTGGGCCCATTACAGACCAGGGCGCCTTTCCCAGTGAGCAGCCCTCACTGGCTTTGTTGCGCCTGTTCCTTTCACAGAAAAGCCGTTTTCTGGGCTCAGGCTGTTCTAGATGATGGAAATTGTTGAAAACCTGACTTGGGGATTCCTATAGCTACCACATAATATTTTGATCTTTGAGAAAACCCAGGTCTTGCAAACTTCAGTGTGCACATGAAGCACCAGGGGTCCTGTTACAGCTCAAGCCCTGGTCTGCAGGGCTGGGGTGCAGCCCAGGTGACACAGATGCCCGAAGCTTGGAGCCGCTCCCCGGTCAGAGCCCTGCACTGTGGGTGTGAGCTCTGCAGAGCTGAGGTGGGGGTCTCCCAATCCTCTGGGTCCTTGGAGCTACCCCCGAAGCCAGGTCCTGAAACGCCGCCCCAGAGGGTGCAGAATGCTGCATGAGCCCAGGGGTGGCTGAGCAGTTGCCCCACACAGTCACACGGTGGCCACCTGTCTTCGCTGAGCAGTAAGGGGCCAGTGAACCCAGAAAGGAATTCCCACTGTGGCAGGCGGAGTGGCTCCAGGAGAAAGGTGACACAGTGCACCCTGACTGACTTCCTCTGTGTTGACTCACACTGCTCAGTACTCCCTCCTGCTCTTCCGTTTCCTTCATTCCCAGCAGCCCACCCACCTACCCGTGTCACCAGCTGTGTCTGAGGGTCCATGGCCGGGCACTGTCTGGTGTGGGACACACAGCAGGATGTGTCCACCTGGGTTATAACGCCGGTGGGGCTGTCTCTGTGTTGGAGAGGTCGAAGTGCTTGTGAGCATGGGCCTCGTTTTTCTCATCTATATGATGGGGACGGTGATGGGGCGACTGGCAGGGTGCAGGGGGAGGGCAGGGGACTGAACTGAACAGAGGGCTCAGGCTCCAGGGGACAGCTGGGAAAGCTCACCTGTCCAGGTGGAAGGCAGCGATCTCCGCATTGTGCCTTTCATAGTCAGAGAAGTAAAAGAAGTCAGGTGGCGTCTCCTGCTCCCTCGTTTGCCTGGAGAAAGCAGACGAGGCAGGAAGGTCTTATCACTGAGGACGTCGCCCAGTGGAAGGGCGCGTGTGGCCTGCACCAGCCGGTGAGCAGACTCAGATTTCCGAGAATGCTGGGAGCCAGTTGTTAAGTATAATCCTCATTAGAAATTGAGTTATATAAACGTACAATTAAATAATAAACATTTAGCTCTCACTGCTTCCCAGACTTCCCACGACATTTCACTGTGCCCTCTGGAGGCAGCTGCAGACCCTGTATTCCAGCTGGTGCTTGTCTTCACACCTCGACCTTGAGTGACCCTGTGGTGGGTGTCCAGTCTGCCATGGGGGGTACTCACACTGTGGAAACTGGCAAACCCTGTGAATCTGGCTTCTCCCCTGCAGGGAGCTGCTTACTGAATCTTGGGGAGCCATGCCACCACCAGACAGATGCTCCAGAAAGGCTGACAGCAAAAGGCAGCCCCTTGCCTCTGAGCCGGATGGGGCGGCACGTGAACAGGGAGCTCGAGGACGACTGAGGTGCCCGGGTAGCAGAGGAACCACCCCTAAGCAGAACCGGAAGTATGAGCCAGAAACTGTCCCTCAAGCTGCTCTCGGCCTCCCATCAGCTTCCTGGACAGAGTTCTTCCCTCGGGTCACGAGGGAGGCTGGGAGCCTTGGGGACCACCTGTGGGACCCCTTTCTGAAATCTATGTGAGGTTAGACTGGGCCCTCTGCCTCCTGCCCCGAACCTGCCAGGGCCCTCTGCTCTCCGCTCTCCTCCCTGAGCCCGAGGAGAGACCACCTGTTTCCCACATGCGTGCCCTGGTCTCCACTCTGCTGTCTGTCCACATCATTCCATCTTCTGGGAAGACTTTCCTTTCCTGTCCCCCAATGGCCAAGCTGGCATTCCCACCCAGCTAGCCCAGGAGCTTTCGGCACAAAAGGACTTCTTACTCAAAGGAGTCTGGAGTTTGGGTAGCAGCACCTACCAGAGTGCCCTCCGGGGTGTCCACAGTGTACATTAGCACCATAAAGGCTCTGACAAGGCCTGTGGCCACTCTGACTCTTAGCCCTACAGCCACTATGGAACCCATTCTGTTCAGAGTGCATTGTCATACTCTGCACTCTTGAGAACTGCTGGTTAAGCTTTCAGTGCATGTCACTTCCAACCTCCACTCACAGGCGCAGTCCCCAGTGCCACAGTGAAAATGAGCTGGTGCTCACCCCTGACCCTCATGAGCAGTGCTGTGCGCCACCCCACAAGGGCCACCACGATGCCAGAGCTGGGCCTCTGGCTGCTCCTGTGCTGTGCTGGCTGTTCCCCACAGCTCGTGTGTGCTGAGCTGAGCCCCGTGGCACCTCCCTGGGGCTGGCTGTGTGCAGCCCTGGTCCAACCCTGCAGGGCCTCAGCTCCCCCAGGGGAAGGGCACACTAAGGAACCCAGGACCCCCTGGTTTGGATGTCCTGTGTCCCACGGCGAGCTGGAAAGCTTGCCCCTCCATCCTGTCCACGGGGACAGCCACAGGAAGGGAAGCCACACACTGGGCTCTCTTGAAGAGAGAGTGTCATTCTGTGCCATCAGCACTTAACAGGGACAAGGACACATGGCAGCTGCAAACATGTGACCTGAAAATGTGGGGGTACTTGCCCATCATCGTCCAAAATTGTGTCAGCAAACGGGCTCCCTGTGTGAAACTGAGGTCAGTTCTGTGCCTTGCCTCCACCTTCAGGAATAGCTTCTGGGGTCACCTTCCAGGCCGGGCCCAGTGGGCAAGCCAAACCTCAAGCCCCTAAGAGTTTACCAAACACTGCCGGAGAACGCATAACAGGCGAGAGCCCAGGGCCTCACACATGACCCTGCCCATACCTCTCTGTGATGAAGCTGTCAGCCCCAAGAAGCCTGGGGCCACCCCTTGTCTTGCCGTGCATTTAGATCTCCTATTTTCTTGGGGGCCACTCCCCTGGATGGGCTCCAAGTCTCTAGTCTGCTTCTTGGTGTGGGCCTGGCACCCTGACCTGCTCCCCCTCGGCTGCCCAGCAGCGCACACACTTCCTGCTGGGAGAGACACGTTGTAACACACTGGCACATGCAGCTTCAGGTACTTGGAATGCACTGGTGCAGTGGAGAGCTGGTCTTCAGGCCTTATTCTAATCCATTTAGACAAACAGGCTCACGGGGCTTGAGGGGGCTGTGCGAGATGCTGCAGCTCTGGCAGGCGGAGCTTTACTGAGGCCTCTGTCCTATCACTGTCCCTCCGTTGGCCTGCCTTTCCTTACATGGGTGGGGTGGTGGCCTGGGTCCTTCTCCCTCACTCACCTCTCCAGTTCCAGTGCCCTTAGCCAACTCCATGCTGCCCTGCCTTATGCGGCTCTGCCTGCCCTCGCGGCAGGACCTTTCTCCCTACACCCTCTGGGCCGGGCCTTGCCCTGGCCACCCCTCCAGGAAACCCCTCTGGGATCACTTTGTCCCTTGGGGGCCTCTCTCTCCCTTGCCGAGATAACCCCCCAGACACAGCACACATCAACGACAGGGCACTGAGGACCACCTGTATGCACGGGGACTCTGCCTCACCCCCTTGCCCCACCAACCCCCATTCTGAGACCATCTGTCAGGCCCACCCCCACAACAGATCACATGTCCCCAGGTCCTAGCTCTGCCACCAGCCAGTGTGTGGGCAGTGAGAACCCCTCCTCTAGGGACCGAAGACGGACGAGGTGTACTGCAGGTGCTCAACGCGTGGTGGGCTGCACTTGCAGTGCACACGGATGCCCATAGCTCTCCAGGCCTGACTGGGCAGGGAGTGGTGGGCCCAACCCTTGTCTCCACAGTGGGCAGCAGCAGGGGGCAGACTGGTGAGAGAGCCCGGGGGCAGAGCAAAGCTGGGCCAGGATGTTCGGATGGTCTCTGACCACCATGGGCCACCAGCACACACGAGTGCTCATGCGCACACACGCACACTTGCAGACAACCTGATAGGGGATCAGAGAGTGTCTTTGCTGGGGTGGCCAGGAGCTCCCATCTCCCTGGAGGGTGCCTCACTGTGGCATGTGAGGTAGGTGGCTGACATGCAGCCACCCTTCAAAGCCACAGGGTGCAGGCCCATCTCAGCTCCCCAGACTTAGCCCTCCCCACCCCATCTCCTTGGAGCCTACGCCCGACCCAGGGTGACTGCTATCAGAAACCTCCCACCCCGCCCCTCCAGTCCTGCCATCCCCCACGCCTCACTCCTGATGCTCAGCACTAAAACTCCCGGTCCACCCAGTCCTGGGCTTCGCCCATCTCTGCACTTGTGCTGTGCTGTGCCCTCTGCCTTCCTCTGCCTTTCCCCAGCCCCATGGCCTTCCTGGAAGCACAGATGAAGGCACCCCATGGGGAGCCTGGCCCTGCTACACTAGATCCTTGTTTGCAGGCCCTGGGGGCAAGAGCGCCTAGCCAAGGGCCTGCTTTAAAGCATGTGCTTAAGAAGCTAAAGAAGAGGTGAGGAATTGATGGAAGCCCAGAGAAGGGGCATAAATCTACCTGCAGCCTCAAGCTTTTCCCACCCTCATTTCTTCAATTTCCATCACAATGACCACCATGACCACCACCATGGCCATCATCATCTCCATCGCCACTACTATCACCACCACCTCCATGGCCATTACCCCTACCTCATTGTCCCTAACCTCTAGTGCCTGATGTGCACTGGCGATGCTTGTGGCATTCGCACAGAAGTTAGCGTGTCTGATAGTGCTGTGACTCTTGTTACCCTCATCCTCCCCTGTGCACTCACGTCTGAGCAGTCCCATGCCTGGAATGCAGGTGGCTCTGAGCCCTGTTACTCTTGGAAGAGTGCAGCCACTTCCTGGAGGCTCTGGGATCAGGTCCCAGAACAGTTCCTGGTTCCCACCTGGGGCTTGGTGACCTCCACCCTCAGGCTGTTCAGAGGAAGAGGCAGCTCTGTTCCTAGCCCCAAGGCCAGACCGGACTCCTGCCCAGCTGTCTCAGATCCCGGATGCCTCTTTCCCAGAACAGCCCACAAGTGGAGAGATGTGGTCATAGAATGTGCATTTGCCTGTGTGCCCAGAGGCTCTCCAAGGGACCATGGGGTGCCCTTGGGGCCTCAGTTCTTTGGGCACGCCTACAGACAGGTGGGGCACTTGTGAGTGGTTGTCAGGCCCTTGAGGCTGTGAGTTCCTTGGGATGGATGCCCAGGTTAACTCCCTGGGCTGAGCTGGGACTCAGGGAAGACCAAAGGGATGGAAGGAGGGTGCAGCTTGGAAGGTGGCTCTGGAATGGGCCTCCACAGGTGCCCGGGCTGGCAGTGGGCAGGCCGCTCCAGCTGGGAGGCCCGGGGGAGCATGCTGAACTTCCCAATCCTCAGTCCCAGCTATAAAACGGGGATAATCAGAGCTCTGCTATCATCTGAGCGGGTCAGTGTGCACACGCATGGAGAGCTCTCAGTGGGAAGAATGACAAGAATCCTGGGCTAATTTATGTGTGTAAAGAAGTATAGGGCTGGTTCCCTGTTGGTCCTTCTGCTAAGGCTTTGCACCAAAACAAACAAGGGTAGGGATAGTCTGCTGGTGGGATACCGCCAGTGATGGAAGGGTGAGGCTCAGGGCCACCATGCTGCCACCCACACAAATGGTCTGGTGACATGACAACCTCCAACAGCCATCTGCTTCCCTCCTGGTAGGTCCTCACCAGCCAGTCCACTCCTGAGGGGAGGGTGCAGGGGTTTTAGAGCTGTGTATGTTTGCTGGAGGGGCACGCTGGACATTTTTGGGGCTGGGCTGCCTGGCAGGGGAACAGCATGGGGCACTTGGGGGGCTGGGGACCAGCAGTGCAAGGCAGGGAGAGTAGAGGGCACCTGCTCCCCCTGCAGGGAAGTCGGCCACGTCCTCCACTTGCTGAGCCGCACCAGGGGCAGAAGGTGCTGCCCCTGACCCAGCCAGCCAGGCAAAACACTTTGGAAAAGTACTGAGCCCACCACACCAGGCAGGGGACTGCACTCTGCTGACCAGGCCACGTGGTAACCA